CGACGCAAAAATATTCATCTGTCTGTCTGTCTATCTGTCTGTCCATATGTACATTTGTCTGTTTGTCCGCCCTTAACGGTACCCTAAACGGCACCAAAGTGGCCAAACAATACTCCAAACGACCGACCCCATCCACAGCACCCACCAATATTGCTCAAGATTCAGCGTTCATACTTGTGCGATTGTCAATTAAAAAGCAATATTTGCGCATATCTAATGCACCCTAACAACAAGTCAATATTCAGTATGTGTGTCCCTTACTAGAAAACACATACATAAGTAATTATAAGGACCGTACCATTAACCACGTTGCGATGACCAGGCAACGCTTGCATGATAAGGCAAGTGTTTCCAACGCTCTGCTAAGACGAGATGGTGGTGGCACCTGCCCATCGCCTCGCGTTCTACACCTTACCACCTCCGAGACGGGCGCGCAGGGCACACGCGCTTCGTTTTTCAAGATAAATGCCAGATAGCGCTCATGTCTCACGTCTGATAAGGTCCCTAGATGAAACAAGTTTCCAAGGTAGCGACACCCTCCCTTTTCCTCCTCGCTTATTTGCCTGAAGCGCCCCCTAGAAGGTTTAAAACTTTCATTCAAAAGCGAATGTTTGGGTTCTGTTGCTACGGTGAATAGATGTAAATGAAACAAAATGGAACGAAATAAGACGTAGAATGAACAGTTACCTTTATGAACATAAACGGCACAACACGAGAGCAAGCGGGATGTGCGTTACTCAACCGGCAACGTTGGGCAGTTCTATATTTAACACCACTAGCCATGGCGTCTCGCGTAGTACATTTTAGTTCCACGGCCGTGGTATTTCGTCCAATTCTAACTAGTCCACTTCTCCGATTGTGTTTTGTTCGTGCTGTGACACAGTGAACGTGCTTCTTGCTGGATCCTGTAAGTGGCCACAGGGCGTGATGTTGTGACGATTGATTACAACCGGCTTGTGCACACGCAAGAAAAAAAACTACAACCAGACTGGTACGAACACTCGTCCAGCAGCACTGCGATGACGTTTTTTTTAAATGTGCTCATTTGGACAATCGTGATGCCAAGTGATTCTGATGCGGTGCTGGGAACTTCCTGAAAAGTGAGAGTTCTACTGTTGAGGTGTCTCGAAGCAGCGCGTTTCGGCTCAAGCGGGAACTGGTCAAGAGAGAAATGTTTCTGAAAGTGCGTTGATTACAACCTACAGCTGTTCTGTATACGTGCATACCCACATGTATTTGTACCAACTGGCATGCACTAGACACGCATTAGACGCGCGCCTGGCGTTTCAATAAAAACCGACAAGTGAACTCGCTTCGCAGATCCGCGTCGACATACGTTGACGGAGTTGCACGAAAGCATTCGCGTGAAATGGTTCATAGTTGCACTTCATGGTGCGCTTCATCTCGGAAAGCACGAGGTAAGTTGAAGAGAGCGAAACCATTTTCTGTTGTTTACGGCAACGCAGCATTGCTGAAAAACGCAGATGTTGCATTGAACGAGCATGGCGAAACAATCTTGGTCGACTTAGCGCACACCGAAACGCTCCTCCTCTTCAGTTTATGTTCTGGCTACAATTTTGTCTTTGGTCACGGCGAGAATCCGGCTGGAGCCATATGCGCATGCGTACTCGTTTTGAACCTTTCGCATAATAATAAATAACACCACCAGCCATTTGCAAGATCACGTGCAAGTAATGCACCAATTACAGAGGCGGATGACAGAGAAAAAAGAGGAGTAATCGAGAGAGTGAGGAGGACGGCTCGAGAACAATGAGTGACGCTACCTTGTTTCATCTAGGGACCTTAACTTGTGACGTGACTTGATGCGCTCGTTCGCCTCCGCTGTATGCTCGAGGCACTTTAACGCAGCGCCTTCAGTAAACCATTCACCGATTTTCTTGCGGAGAACATCAAATAAACGTTTTGATCACTCTCTCCAGGCACAAGACTATCGTCTTTCGACGACATTTGCAGTGTAACATGCAGATACGGGGCCATTTTTTCGCTCCTTTTCTTCCATTTTTCTTTTCTATTATTGTGTTCTGTTTTGCACAGTTTTTTTGTCTCTTTATTCTATGTATTTATTCCTGTCTCTTTATCATCTTTTTCTCTTTATTGCTATCTCCATATTTTCTTCCTATTTTTATCTTACCCCGTGTTCAGAAACGCTGCTTGACTTTATCTTGACTTGCCACCGACTTCAATGCAGCACAAACGTGTTTCGAACGCGCTGCATTGAAGGCGGTTTCAAGTGAAGTTCAAGTCAAGTAGCGTTTCTGAGCACGGGAGTTAATCTCTCTTTCTATTTGCGCTTTCTTCACTTTTTTTTCTGCGTGGTTTTGCCTGAATTACCTCCAGTGCACTCGCTTAGCGCAAGCACGTTCTTGATATGGTACACACGGAGCACTACGCCAAGCTTCGACGACAGCAAACGACAACCAGGCTACCCAAAAGGCTGTGCACTTTAAGAAAATCTGTGAACGATCGTACGGTGTGTCAGAGAATCGTTTCATTGTTGCGATTTCGCCGGGTGATAGCGGACAATTAGGGCTGTGATCTCAATACAGTGCATAACAACTTTGATTACCGTTTCTTGGAAAAGTGAAAGCACAACTTATGAAATTGGGAAACATTTTGAGTGAGAAGATGAGCTGCAACACACATGCACGTTGTCATGACAGCTCAAAACTTGAGACATCGTCATTGACGTTACTTTCAAATGAGGTGAAGTAATTAAACGAAATTGTTTATTCGCGAGAAATTCCGTAAAAACATAGTGACTACGCCTCTAAATTTATAATCAGGTAGGAAAGCAGTTGATCCCTTATATGAAACCATTTGTAAACTGTGTAACAAAAAACGAAAGTAAAATAAAAAACATGCATGTCATAAAGGTATAAAACGAGCGAATACATATAAAGCAATATTCATGTAAAACAATGAATATATTTACAAGTAGTATATAGTAAAAAAGTGCGACTTACTTGGGTCGATGGCTAAATTGGTTAACGTGGTTGTGAAATGGGGTGTTAAATTGCGACTTACTTGGGTCGATGGCTAAATTGGTTAACGTGGTTGTAGGAGGGGGTGTTAAATGAGTGAACACGTACAGACGTGTGCGAAAGGGCGGCGCTGGTCGAAGGGACGTCGATCATTGTGTTTGTGGATTCGTTGGAATTCATTTCACCGCGACCTTGGACGTCGACGCGCCGTACAAACCAACCGACGAGTGGCAACTGAGCGAGCGAGCGCCGACCTTGAGTATATATACAGCACGATGGCGCATGCACTGTCAGCTGTTGAATGTTCTCGAAGCGCGACGCCACATGCGCGTCCACTGGAGAATCAGGAGAATTGTAGATGTCGAACGTGGTGTGTAGAGGAGGAAGGGTGCACAGATGGTGGAGGAGTGAAGCGCGCGCGGTGTGTAGAGGAGGAAGGGATGCACAGATGGTGGAAGAGTGGGCGACGGCGCGACGACGCATGCGCGCGCGTCAGCTGTTGAATGTTCGAGAAGCGGTGCGGACGGCGCACTACAAGGCGCGAGTATAAGATGCTCCGCATCTAAAAGTCGATGTGCAAAAGCAGAGTAATTCTCAGACGTATATAAACAAACCCGTATATAAATGCAGAACAAAGTGACTGAACTACAATAAAGAAGGGTGTGAGGCAGGGCGACGCGGCAATCTCTCCAATGCTATTCACCGAGTTTTCAGTGCCCTAGAATACGAAAGGTTGGAGATAAGAGTTAATTAAGGGTATCTTTGTAACTTGCGGTTTGCTGATGACATTGCCTTGATGAGTAACTCCGGGTACGAATTGCAGCTATTCACATTTACATTACAATTATCTCATATAACACCCCTACACTTTTCCTGGCATGCTTGTCCGTCTGATTAATATTGTGTGAAACATAGAAAAAGGAGCCCTTAAGTGTAGACTTTTTTCTGTCACGGGACGTAGCGTGTTTCCAAAGAATTCACTTTTTCCCGTTGGGTGGCTTCCGAGCGCCCCAAAAAATTACCTCGCGGACTGCCAGTGTCCGCAGACTCCTCTATGAGAACCACTTCACTATGTAAAGAAGCGAAACAGTGAACAAGTTTACAAGCTACCGGTAAGAAGAGCGCCTACCAAATGGTATGCGGTGAGTTTCTACCTGTGGGGCTATGACCTTTCTCTAAGTCGAGGAAGTGTTCTTAGAACACTAATCGAGTAAAAATTATTACCAGCAATACGTCATATTTTATATAATGTTCATTTCTTGAGTTTTGTGAGCAATAACCATTTTAGTAACAAGAACGCCCTCCCATAGCAACACTATCACAGTGCTCGAAAACTTTCGAAGCTCTAACATTTGCCCCGCAGCGGTGGTCTAGTGACTAAGGTACTCGGCTGCTGACCCGCAGGTCACGGGATCGAATCCCGGCTGCGGCGGCTGCATTTCAGATGGAGGCGGCAATGTTGTAGGCCCATGTGCTCAGATTTGGGTGCACGTTAAAGAACCCCGGGTGGTCGAAATTTCCGGAGCCCTTCACTACGGCGTCTCTCATCATCATATGATGGTTTCGGGACGTTAAACCCCACATATCAATCAATCGAAGCTCTCACATTTGTTACGTGTCACAAAAAGACTTCAGAAACCCATTTTCGCAGTTCGCTGCTCGTATTGACGATGTACTGATGTCCACTGCCCTCTCGAGTTCATGGTAATGAGTGCCAATCTTCACAATGCCTGTCGTCTTTGCCGTTTTTGAATTAGGTGGCCAGAAATCGTACGGTGCGATGACAATAAAATGCCATTGGTGAAAAAAAAGAGGTGAGTGGTAGAGGCTTAAGCTGCAAAAGTTTTCTGCCCTTAGTAAAGGTCTTTCGATGAAACAAAAGTGTGACTTTGCTTTGTGTCTCCCGAATGCACCGTCTGCCTGGTGCATTGATTGCATAATCACTCCTAATTAGCAGTGTGTGTTGGAATACGGCAGATGAACTAGAATGCCACTCACAGAGTATGTCCTTTGTCCAGACGTCTTCCATGAGCGTCTCCGGGAGCCTTGTGAAAAGTGTGATGGGCGCGGGCACCGGAGACGCTAGCTGTGGTGCCAGGCCGAGTGTGCTCGAGTGGGAACTCACTCGAGATCCCCCGCGTGGCGCAGTCGGTCAGTTCCCTGGATGCCAGCAGCCAAGCGCACCGAGGCCCGGGGTCAAAATCTTCTCACTTGGCAGGTGACCTAGTAAGGAGAGAATTCGGTCTCAGGAGAAACTCGGCATTAGAAATGTGGCATACAAAAGAATTGAAAGACAACGTAAACTGAAAAGGGGACAGTAGTGTCTCAGAGAAAAGTCACGTCGTAGGCACACGTTAGGAGGTTGACTGTGTGGGTGTGCTCTCTGTTCTCACTTTATTTCTCCATCCTTAAAACTCCCAGACCCCTTCTGCCTGTGCAGGGTAGCATACCAATAGTTCTAGACTAGGTAACATCACTGCCTTTTCTTTCTCTTCTGCTTGTTTCTTTCTTCCTTGCCAAGAAAACACACATTGAGTCTTTAGGCAAAAGGAACTGCCTTAAAGCTGATAAAGTAAAAACAATTCGCTGAGAGCATATAGTTTTCGAACATATTTCTAAAGCAGGTGATGATACCCGTCGAAATTTTGCGTCTACACTTCGATTGTATATTCTATCAAGACTGTATAAAAAAAAACACTGGTCGATAACATGATTTTCATAGCACAATAAACGCACTCAGTTTGAGTTATGTCTACAAGTTTTGTAGAGTTCGATGCTTGCGCAGTAAATTAAATAAACAGTACTACAAGCTTGCTCATTTTCACGGCATTGCGATGTCGATTGGGCATCACTGCGGCCACAGTGGTCTACATATGTTCATCTTTTCAATAACGAAATGTTACTTTGAAGAGTGTAAGCTTGGGCTTGTTAGTGTGCATTCATGCTGGGAAGTTTTCTTAAGCACGCAAACATAGCAAAAATGAATAGAGTAGACAAAACAAGTGCGGACTTCCAACTAACTTTATTTCATAAGGTATATGTGTAGAAAAGGCGATAAAAATTTGGCCGAATCTACATGTTACACAATAAATATCGTCGAAAGACGATAGTCTTGCGTCTGGAGAGAGTGAACAAAACGTTTATCTGATGTTCTGCGGAAGAAAATCGGTGAATGGTATGCTGGAGGCGCTGCGTTAGAGTGCCTCAAGCGTGTAACGGAGGCGAACGAGCGCATCTAGGCACGTTAGGCACTGCCAGATGGCACGAGTGCCATCTGGCAGTTATTTTTGAAAACGAAGGCATGCGCGACCGCGGGGAAAGATGCGCGCCAGTCACGGAGGTGATAAGGTGTAGAATGCAAAGCGAAGGCCACCACCGTGCCGTCGTACCAAAGCATTAGAAACACCTTCTTGAGGATCACGTTGCACTGTCAGCGCAGCGCGTTAGAGGCTACAGTGCTTAGAGTTACTTGTGTGTGCCTCTTCTAGTATTAAGGCAGACATACAAAACATAAACATGTTGTTATGACGCCTCAGATATGCGCAATATTTGCTTTTTAATTGACAATCGCACGACTATGAACGCTAAACTTTGAGCAATACTGGTGGGCGCTGCGAATGGGGTTGTCCGTTTGGTGCTGTTTGAGGTGTCGTTAGGGCGGTCAAATAGACAAAAGTACCGACAGACAGACAAAAATTTTTCCGTTGAAGGTCCCCAAAAAGGACTATCGTCTTTAAAACATGAACAAATAGACAAGCTTAATCAATGTACCAATAGTCGAAGGACATGTGACGGGTCTTCGAGTGCCCTAAAGCCCGGTCAGGTAGCCGAGTTTTAACTGTGATAACGCCAGTGGTGAGAAGCTTACGCTGTTTTCACGTATATTAAGGGAATTTTTTCTGCTTCAATATTATTGCGGCTTTTCATTGTCCTTGTCTGCACATTTACTTTGCCACTCTACGAAATAGAGTTAGTTGGAAGTCAGTGCTCTCTCTTTCTACTGTGTCCTTTTGCCTATGTACTCGTGCTGAAGAAAACTTGCCAGTATGAACCGAATGCTCTACCAAGTCACTTGACACGCTGCAAAAAAAAAAAAAAGTAAGTGGAGTACCAAAAAATCACTGAAACGCCAAAAAGACTTTTTAGAAAGCTCACGGACGTAGAAAACGCAGAGGTTCTCTGCTCTAAGTCGGCATGATGGGAAACGGCGCATGAAAAAGCTGGAAGACATTCACTAGGATGAGACTGAGCTGCATGACTATAAAAAAGATGCAACAAACAACTTGCAAGCTATTGTAACGTGGAGTATTTAATAAGTGAACACCGGGTGGGCTAACACTGCACACAGTATGCAAGGATGCAGGACGACAGGGCTGTTCAGACACGGAACCACAACAACATCGTCGACTTCATCTCTTCTACGTCATTTCTGCACCCGTGCCTGAGGTACCTTTCTATACCCGTGACATTACCCCGGGCGGCAAAGCACCGTCCCGGTGTCTGCTGTTATTAGACGAACGGGTCACTTTGATAAGGCTTCAGGCGAGACATGCACAATGCCACTTCTGGGTGTAACAGTGGGGTTCGTAGTAAGGGAAATTTTATAAGTGACAGGTGTGACTTGGTGCAGATCTCGGTAAGGCCCTACGTATTGCGATAGAAGTTTCTCGCACAGGTCGACACGATGGGATGACAGCCACAGTAGCACGAGAGAGCCCGGAAAAAAATCAACATCCCTATGTCGCTGTCGTAGAGTGACTTCTGTGCTCTCTGGGACGATGAGAACCTGGTGCGGGCTACTGTACGTGCGATCAGAGCACGGGAGATGGCATCTTGTGCGCACGAAGTCGTGGACGGAAGGTCATAGGCAAGCAGGGTATCGAAAGGTAGTAAGGGATCACGGCCATAGAGAAGATAAAATGGTGAGTAGCCGGCAGTTTCATGACGGGATGAGTTGTAGGCGAAGGTTACAAACGGAAGGGCAGGGTCCCAATCGGCGTGGTCGTCAGAAACATACATAGCAAGCATGTCTTTCGGTGTGCAGTTGAGGCGTTCAGTAAGTCCGTTAGTCTGAGGATGGTAAGAAATCGTAAAGTTGTGCCGCGTTGCACAGGTTCTAAGGAGGTCGTCAACCACACGAGACAGGAAGCAGCGGCTACGGTCCGTGAGTAGGTGAGAAGGAGCACCATGCTGAAGGATGATGTCATAGAGTAGGAAATCTGTGACGTCCGTTGCGCAGCTGGTCGGTAGCGCTCCAGTAATTGCATACCTAGTGGAATAATACGTAGTTACTGTAATTCCTTTGTTTCCCGTTGCCGATGTTGGGAAGGGACCTAACAAATCCAAACCCACACGATGAAACGGCTCCGCTGGGACTTCAATAGGTTGAAGGCGACCGGCAGGGAGAGACGTAGGCTTCTTCTGACGCTGGCACAGGTCACACGCTGCAACGTAGCCACGAACGGAACGATAAAGGTCCTTCCAGAATACCCGTCGGCGGACGCGGTCATAGGTTCTGAAGACACCTAAATGTCCGGCAGTTGGGGTGTTGTGAAGTCGTTGCAAGATGTCCTTGCGCAGATGACGTGGGACGATGAGCAAAAGTTAGAAAAAATAGGCTCAGTGAAGGATCTTTATGGCCAGATTGAAGACGGTCAATCATCGATAGCAGCGATGGATCTCGGCGTTGTTCGTCGGCTGTTTCAGCTATTTGCAGAAAATCTGTTATGAATAGGATGTTGGCATCAGCTTTCAACTCACAGGAGTCAGGTGGATCAACAGGGTGTCGAGATAAGCAGTCGGCATCGCTGTGAAGCTTCCCAGACTTATACACTACAGAGAATGTGTACTCCTGCAATCGCAATGCCCATTGTCCGAGTCTTCCTGTAGGATCCCTAAGGGTTGATAGCCAGCAGAGCGCATAATGGTCTGTGATGACTGCGAACGTGCGTCCATATAGGTACGGACGAAATTTTGCGATAGCCCAGATGAGAGCCAGGCACTCTCGCCCAGTAATTGAATAGTTACTTTCCGACTGAGAAAGTAGGCGGCTAGCGTACGCTATGACACGGTTTGTGCCGTTCTGCATTTGTGCGAGTATTGTCCTTATGACATGGCCACTTGCGTTGGTGCGTAGCTCCGTTCGAGCGGCTGGGTCAAAATGAGCCAACACAGGTGGTGATGTGAGCGCAGAAATCAATGACACAAAGGAATGTTCTTGGTGTTCCCGCCATGAAGAAGCCACGTTCTTCTTGAGGAAATCCGTGAGGGGCCGAGCAATTTCCTTGAAGTTACTGACAAAAAAGGCGGAAATATGAACAGAGTCCCAAAAAGCTGCGGACTTCTTGCGTGGAACGCAGGACCGGAAACTCGCGCACCACGCGGACTTTATCAGTGTCGGGTCGTACACCAGCAGCGTCAACAAGGTGGCCAAGTAGCTTTATCTGACGGTGCCCAAAGGTGCACTAACCCCCGTATTCACAAACGCTCCTCGACTCGACTTTCACCCTTCACTTGACAAAGTTGAGCACTGCGCCACCACTCGTCTGAAAATGACGCTGCGCTACTCAAGAATCGCAGCAGAGTATCGTTGATATGCAGTGACTTTCCGTGCCTAGACATGGCGCTCCAATCGGCTTTCTCAAGTGAAAGCGAAGCGTTGAGTGAAGGGAGGTTCTAGAATACAGGGGTTAGACGCGTTAAGCTGGAGGCCAGCACAGCGAAAAACGTCAAAGGTGGCCGACAGACGTGAAAGATGGCTTTCGAAGGTTGGCGAGAAAACGATGACATCGTCTAGATAGGCACAGGTACGTTGACCATTTAAAACCGCGAAGGAGGGAGTCCATCATGCATTTAAAAGTTGCTGGCGCATTGCACAACCAAAAAGGCGATGTTGTTGTGGGGCCGTGTCTGAACTGCCCTATTGTCCTGCATCCTTGCATAATGTGTGCAGTGTCAGCCCACCTGGCATTCAATTATTAAATACTCCCTCTTACAATATTTTAGTCTGCAACGTCTACAGTGCCCCTATAGTTCCGCATAAAAATTAAAAAAAATAGATATGCCTACCTGCGTTGACATCCCTGTCGAAAGAATGCCTTTGTTTTGCTTCATTTTCGCAGGGATCAGCAGCGCTGCAAATAAAACAGTGCATAGGAGGCCATGCATATCTCTTCTTGGACAACAAGAGTGTTATAATAAGACGCACGAGTTTCATAGCGAAGACTCATATTGGAGCTATTATTCAGAAATCATCATTTCAGATCGTTTACTGCATATAACCCTGAACTTCTAAAAGTTTTGAACGCAACTCTTTACTTCTCACTGGACAATAGCGAACCTACACACAAAGAAAGTCGTAGCATAATTTACAAGGCTGTTAAACTAGAATAAAAAAATAAAAATAGAACAAAAAGTGCCTCGTCTTGGCATCAATTAGTTGTCGTTTCTGCCAATGTCATACAAATACTGAGAACAGAAACAATCAACGCTTCAGTTTTGCAGAAAGTTATTGTTGGAGCGCAGTTTACATATAAAAGAGACAATTTGCCACAAAATGTACGGATATGCAGTCACCATTCCTGCTAGGTACCCAGTTTACAGGCGGGAGAAAGCGTGCCATAGCGCCATAGGAGTTTCCTGAGTGTCTGCCATTCCTTCTCAGTGGGTCGGGAATAACGGAACATTTTATCGATTGTGGGCGTACATGACGAATGAAGGCACCAATGCACCGGTAATTCCCTGATCGCTTCCTGGCTGGGGATAGCACCATAGCAAGCCACTGTTTCTCACGAACGCTCTTGAATTTTGGCAGGTGGCTGCATCAGCTTCCGTTTTCCTAGTTTGTTTGCCATTTACATTCCCTCACATTGGAGGACAATCACTTTTCTTCGGACACCGGCGTGGTGCAGTGGTAGAAGACAGGGATGGTCGCAATCCATGGGACCGAAGCGATCATAATACTGGTGCAGCAAGGCTGTTTTTCTTTCAGCCAGTTTACAAAAAAATAAATAAAAATAAAAATACATTGATGCAAAGGTCATTTGCCTGTAATATCGGCAGCGACTAAGACACAACAAATATGATGATTTACATGATACCAAAAGAAAAAGAATTAATAGAAACTTTTGTCAGCTTTTTCCAAGCCACTTCTAAATTATTACCTCTTTTTTTACATGAATGACATCATGTTATTAAACACTCACTGTATCCTTGCTGCTCGAACTCAAAATAAAAATAATATTGTTGGGTTCCTGCTCCGATACCTTATTAGCGCAAGTAAAGAAAACACATGTGCAAATAAGCTGTCGTCCATCGCGGAAAAGTGACCAGGGTAACATGCGACCAGAACCATGCTCACTCACAGATCTTGGTCTAAATCACGCTCAAGCGCTCATGTTACTTTTTCATGATTCACGACAAACGCAAACCCGTTCGGTAACGAAAAACATCGCAATAGAAATCGACTCTTGTAGGGAGCGATTGCGCTGTAAAAAAAAGAAAAACAACCTGTCACTCGAATGTTTATTCTTCCCTTTTCCCTGTTACAATTCCTTGTTTTCGTTAAATTTTGTCTCTGATCCCAGCTTCATCATAGAAATTGACACTGCTCTGTTCTGGCCTATTTGAGCACCGCGCAAAGCCTCAACAACTTGCCTAGACGGGCGTCGGGGCTTCGAAGCTTGAAAAGATCACTCGAGTGCATATCGCTCACAGCCGCATGGCCACTACAGCCGCGCAATCGGCTTGCACTTTCTACACGTGTCTGACTTGTTTTCTTCGCAGCTTCACCGCGCGTTCTCATAATGGCCCTCGAAACCCCACGTGGCCCGAAAGTTTTGCCAGCTTCTCGCTTACTGCTCCATTGCAGCCCTCCTCGTCCGGTGTACGGTGGAGCAAAAACGAAGCCATTATAGAATCTACGATATTCTGATGGGGTCCTCCCTCTTTACGCTTTGCTTCTTACCTTTCTGAAACACGTACTGCCACTCTCATTCACATTCTGGCGGTAGGCAAGATGTAAGCGTAAAGCTTGCAGGACGCCTACATCCCATTTTCATTGCTCAGACTATGCACAGACGCGCGAAGAAGTAAATTATATCCTCCCGTGGTCACAATGTCTCGCATTCAGTTTCGCCGTGCTCGCGACATATTCACTGACGGCCCCGTGGCCGCCATGATGCGAGTGCCCCTGGGAATAATCAGTTCTTATCTTCATCTGCAATATTTCCTGAAAGCTACGCGAGCAGCACGAGGCTCCTGCTTGTGCACCCTTGCTGCCTTCGTGAGGGAAAATTTCCATAGTGCTGGTGGAACTGTTAAAGGAGCCTGCTCGGAACAGGAAAAACGCTTACGAACACGCCTGTAGGAAACGCGATGTTCGGTTGACAAAAAAGACAGCGCGACCATCACGCTGAAGTCGCTGCACTGTTGAAATGTTCACTGGGTGGCGCGCTGATGTGTTCGCACGTGGCGTTTCTTTGATAACCACTGCAAATGTCTCACATGCAATTTTTACGCCACACTCGTCATTGTAGCCGTTTTTATTAACGCTGCTGTCAAAGCACTCCATACTGTCTTCGTGCCATGACCACCGTAGTGTGAGCTCGGAGCAAGCTCGTGTGCCCAAGAAGCAACGTCGAGCGGCTCCACTACTTTTATCCAACTGGCAATATCCGTGGCACGTTCTTTCGCGACGCCACTGCCGTCCTCGCTTCCGGGCACGCGCACAGCTCTCGCATTGCATCTGTGGTGCGTTTCAATCTAGCTTTTGATGACTACAGCACTTCTCTCGACCGAACAATGAAAGCATACGGGCGCGTGTCCTGGCTACTTCCACAGCCAAATGCGGCTATAAACCACCTTATCCGGCGGCGTCTATCCCAGTAACGCACAGCTCGGCCTTGCAAGCCTCGTGCCAAACTTGAGCTTGGGTTCCCTATGGTACCTGATCGCCACGAAGAACACCTGGGTTTGACTACTCGTGCCATTGTAATTTTCATTTAGCGCATTAGCCGGGGAAACGTGGCCAGAAGCCCATTTTTTTTAACGCCTTCACTCCTTAATTAACAATGTATGTTCTCGCCATTCCTGGGAAGACAGTCAGAGGGTCAACAGACTTTATCTTGGTTTGAAAGAACTAGAGAGTCATAACTGCAGGACGCGCCCACGTTGGGGCCGGAAGACCAAGGTTCTCCGCCAGTTCTCTTTTGAACAGCCTTTAATTGTACATGTACATCACCGCTTTTAAGGGCTTCCCCCAAGACCTCTTATTTATTAAGAGGCATTTGGTAACGCCGAACATTGGAAGAGCATGTGAGCTAATGAGCAATACTCTTCATGGCACTCAGGGCAGTGTAGATTAATGTCCGGAGCAAATCGACTCAACCTTCATCTCGACGGGAAATATCCCGTTTGTAACATTCTCAGAGGGAAAGATGGAGGTCTAGTGAACTTTGGGTGCGAGAGCGGGAATTTCCGGCACCGAAGCTGACAGTGCTGCACTATATCGTGAAATTGGAGTAATAGGTCGGAGTTATGCACCCAACCCGAATTGTCTAGGGTAACGAGATCATCGCGCAATGTTTGACGTCGCGTTTGGTCATGAAGTTCATTCGGGTAGGGTTTGCTGGCAGGTACTATCGGGAGCAATATGAGCCCGAACACGCGAACGCGTGGCAAACAGCCTCAGAACCGAGTTAGCACGTTACGTAGATAGCGCTAGTGATAGATGAGGGGAAAGGAGAGGGCGCTCTTCCGTTTACTGTCGGCACTCCCGTTTCACTCGCGTTGCTGCAAAACGGCTGCTGATTGCGGGGCATCAGTCCGCGAGGAATGCTGACGCAAAAAAAATTTGCATGAAAACAAAGTATAAATAGGACAATCGTTTCAAAATCCCAGGCAGCATCCCCCAAACATACAAGCATGGCCTGTGCATTAGAGCAGAGTATTTCACAGGCGATACTTTAGCTGCTACACACACTGAAGGGTCTATGCGTTAGGCTGGGCTAATGCCACCTAAATCATTTCAGGCCTTCTCAGTGTTTCTGCGGCAGTCTCTGACGTTACTCCATTTAGATGGGTGTGTTTCGCTGCACAGCCGTGCCTGTACGCTCGTTCTCGTCGCTCGACAGACATGGATTGCTAAGCCCGATGAATGTTTTCCTAGCGTGCTGGTGTGCTTGTCGGCGACTCAATAACACCGTGCTTTGCTGTGTCCATGAATTGCAGCGTGGATGTGTGATGCGCTCTGTGCATTGGATACTCGCAATCTGTACGTCTGCAAATCCGAACGGTTGGATGACACTGCGTGGCTGATCGTAGTGGCAAAGAGACCGAAGTTGCGAGTGCTCTCGTTTACCGAAGAACAAAATGGAAGCGTGTCGTTCGTCAAGCTGACGTCGACAATAGTTTTCTTCGTGACCCAGAGGTACGTGTGTTCATACTACTTATTTCTAAGTCATTCCATTAGCACCATCTCCACCATCTTCCGTTCTTGCTCTAAAATAAAGGTATCATATGTGCTTCTGACTTGTTAGCGTAAGCCGTGGCATTGAAATAATAAACGGGCGTGGCAGTACGTTTTCAGAACAGGCATTTTTGCTTCAGGGTCGGTAAGCAGTTTGCTGTTGGCAGTTAGAGAAGTGGGTTCTTGTATTATCCCTGTTTACTTGGTTGAGAAAAGTGTAATGAATACTGTTGCATTGCTTAGCGCATCGGTTTTGTGCATAATATTTTCTTGCCGCTGTTTCAACTACTTTATAGCGGTATTATAATTATCCGCTAGGCTTGCCAGCACCTTAGCCTTATATGTTTTCTTGAAATTTAGATGTGTGCAGACGCTTACGGTAAAGCACTTTGTTAAATGATTTTCAGGTGTGTGAGCTGAACTTCAAGCTAGAACGTTTAAAAACGAAAACCAAATATAGTTATCCAAGAACCGGCAACGCGGTCTACGGGGAGGATGGGGGGTGACATGGCTTAGTAAATTTTATGAGCGACTACGCTATAGTGCGAAAGGGGCCAGAGCAAAGGGGAAACGTCGCTCATTGGGTCGGTCAAAAGAGATTTTTATGAAACGAAATATTTCGTTTGCTTTTGCATATGGTGCTGAATAACATACTTGTGATAGCAGCACAGACTGTCTACAAAAACTAAGTGTCTATGAAGACATATATTTGAAGGAGTGTAAATAACACGGCAGAAACTTTGCAAACTGGTAAGACCAGTTTCTCGGCATGTTCTAGATAGTGTGTCAGTGCTTTTGTGTGTAAAAAAAATATAGAATGAACAAAATTTACCGAAATTACTTAGTCACTTTTGCACCGCTGTGATAGTCTTGTGGCTAAGGTACTCGGCTGCTGACCCGCACGTCACGGGATCGAATCCCGGCTGCGGCAGCTGCATTTGCGATGGAGGCGGAAATGTTGTAAGCCCGTGTGCTCAGAATTGGGTGTGCGGTAAAGAACCCAAGGTGGTCAAAATTTCCGGAGCTCTCCACTACGGCGTCTATCATCATTACATGGTGCTTTTGGGACGGTGAACCCCACATATCAATCAAATAAATCTATTTAGTCTCTTTGTGGGTTCAACGATTTTGCTCCTATAGATCGACCACACATTCGATGGCGCACAATTCTTGACTTTTGCGTGAAAGAAATGACTCAGCAATAAATCTCTAAAAGATTTCAAGCGGGAGAAACCAGCACTTTTTTTGACGCAAAAGGCAGAATAAAGATGTTAAGCATGTAAAGTTCGTCGCAATCGCTTTATCTTTTAAAAAAGACAATGGTGGCAAGGAATTCACTGCCTCCCGTACGCGCGCTCGCTCCAGCATGACAAGTGACGTTCACGGCGACAGTGAGCAGGCCTGAGAATATTTTTCTAGGTGACATTCGCTGAGTGCGTTGAAGTGCATTCATATCAATTGCTAGCGGTCACTGACAAGCTTCCACCTTGCAGCACCGATATCGCGGCGAGAGCGCGAACAGCTAGTGGAACCGCAGAACCATTTCCACTTTGTTTCCGACAGTGGGCACTGCGAACCAGCCGAAGTTCGAGGCTATTCGACACGTGCTCGCGTTTTCGAACTGATTGCTCACGATAGTACATTAGGTTCCCATGTGCTCTGGGAACCTGCGTGATAGTGTGAAAGCATCAGGCGGTCTTTTCAAGATGAGACCAGATAGAAAGGCCAGGATGGCTAATCTGGAGTCAATGTAGATGTGAGGCCTTGAGAGGTCGTTCATAGCTAGCGCGATGGTATCTTCTTTGGTTGCTGCAACAATGACATGTTTAACTGAAGCTCCATTAAGGATCATCTCATGTGGATGAGCTACAACAGCTACAAATTAATCTCTCCGCCCATATTACGCAGTATCTACGTAAGTAGTTGCGTCAAGGCTTTTGTGCGGAGTCTATGAGGGAGTGGGCTCGTGCCTTGCGCCTAGCCAAATTATACTGCAAAGGCACATTCTTTGTGAAAAAGCTAACCTGAAAAGTCTCTCTGACGGTGTGGGTCAGCATGGTAGAATTTTCGTCGATGGCCAAGGGTGCCCGTCACGCGGACTCTGACATGTTTCTGCCTGCCTTCTAAGACGAGAGACGTACTGTTTGCGACTTTCTGTGTCGTATTTGTCTAAGCATTTTACACCCCCCTCCTCGACATTTCGTATTCGTCTAAACACCACCCCCTTAACTTGGTTTACCCCAAGTTAAGGGGGCGATGATGAGAGCAAGATGTAAGCGGATAGATAGATAGATAGATAGATAGATAGATAGATAGATAGATAGACAGAAATGCTTTCAGTGCTGTGGTTCACCAATAAATGTTTGTAATTTAATAACATGCGAACGTGTGTTCGGCGTCCAGAGCCTGACGCGACGACAGCAAAACCTAATAGACGCTTTTTGAGGCATTCGACGGCTTTTCAGTGTTCCTCCTCTTTTTCCGTTGCCCTAATAGAAACTTAGCACCAAGACAAAAACAAAAGTACTCACGCTTCATTCCTATTCCAAACGTTTTGACCTGCAATAAAAAAACGCGGACGTCAATGCAATTATTTTGTTAACGCCCACCAACGTACGAAGTGAGAACGACTTCCTTCGTTGAAATATAATGCTAAATAACAATGATTTACGCTTAATTGAGGTAACGTCCTTCACTTTACCACTAAGAAAGAATGTTATCACTCTTGTTAATAATTGATCTTATGTGAATTCTAACTTTCCGTTTTTCAGCATGTTCTCAGGAGACTACACTATGCTACAAGAGCCCTGAGTACTACAGTATACAAGAAGACGTCCTGTGAGCAAATATTTATTTTTTGTTTGGCTGTCCTTCATTGTTCACGTAAACAAACAGAAAAAAAAAACAAGAGAGCTTCTTTGTTAGAAAGTCTGCTGTTTGTCGTTCTGTACACCCCGAAGGGTGGTAACATGTTTAATACTCTAGAATAGCTAACCAACCAGGCTCGAACACTCTACTGCTAGATGAACCGTTCCTGGGCATCTATCTTTCTGCTCCTGTCTCATATGTCCACTAAAGAAGTCTCTCTTATCCTATTTCGCCTCAAAAATGTTATTTTCAATGTTTTCTCGTGAATCAATGCCAGATTATGCTGCTGAAAAAAAGAAGACAGTGCATGAAATTTTGTGGCACTCAACTCAAGGGCTTTCGTTAAGGCATGAAGAAAGAAAGTGATTTTTAACGGGGGTTTTATATTTCGCAATATCTAGGGCCTGAGGACCCAACCATGAAATGCCTGACATATCAGCGCTAGAACGAGCAACTCTGCATATTCCGGTCGCAGCATGGAAACTTGTGTATACGCAAAATTACTTCAACGAGTGATTAAAGGAAGAGAGTTTCAAGGGCATGTTTCTCTTTGTTTGATTGACACAACCTAACGAAATCAAGGGATGGTGATTCAGGTTTAAACAAGTGCAACCTTACCTCGATTGAAGAGGATCTTCCGCCTGAACTTCCCCAGCGTGAGTGCGATAAATACAATCAGAAAGGCAGCCACGGCGCTCAACGCAGCTGCCCACAGCGTGGTAGATCCTAGGGACCACTCTGCGTCTGCTGCGATCAAAGTGAGTAAGACAGGTTCGAGAGGGTCGACGGGAAAGATACCACTCAGTCAATCAGTTTGTTGTTCATAACAAAATAAAGCACATTGTACAATATTCCTAATTACAGAACTGCACATTAGTTGCGGAAGGGGTTCATATGACAGATATTGCTTGTACTTATAGGACCTATGTCCTTGTAAGAGGATCTTATAGACCAGTGTACTTAGAAAAACGTGATAACGTTGTATAGTACGTAAACGTTAACTTTGAAGAAGGAAGGCAAAGCCAGAATATTAGGCAATGAGTAAAAGGAAACTAGGTGTTTGTGAAGGAATATAAATAGGTATATAGATTAACTAGACTGCATTTCATGTGCTATTCTACGCCTCGGGACGGTAAATAGGGACTTCAGGAAAGATATGGGAAGTACTGGTGGAGTGAGTTCAAAACATACAGAAAGGTGATGAAGTTGTCTTAGGAAGTGCACTGAACAGATCGGCTGCAGTATTTTATCTACAAAGAAAAATGTTCCACAAGTTGTGCGTGCACGTGAAGTCGTTAACAACGTTGTAATGAAAGTCTTGCTGGATATTCCGTTACGTGTTGATGAAAATGAACTTACTGGTGGCATTTAGTATTTCTTGGAAATCAGTACTTTCCCCATCGGTAATGTCAGGTATTGTTAGATTGCTGGTTCGGCGTGGGGGTGCTCAAGAAAAGTCCTGTGATTTATTTTGTTTTTATTTGACGCACTACGCCTTTCAAACAGGCCAGGTCGGCGGCCATTTGCTGTCTATAAAAATTATTGACTACGCTTGTTTTGTTTCTTTTTTTATTTGAACTTGCGGCCAGTTTTATGATGTCTACTATAAGGCAGACTATGGGAGCTTGTTGAACGTTGTAAGCACATTTAGGAATTGCTGAATATTGGCCTCGATACATTTTGTCTGAGGAAAGAAAAAAGACAACAGAAATTGACATAAATGCCACGTCGTACGTGCTTTTTGATATAATGATATCGTTCACGTCGGCCGTTTGTTTCCATTGCTTTGTCGTATTTATATACTAGAAATTTGTATGTAAAAGTTAGTTAATGACCAAACACGACATTGTGCTTACCTTTGCTGATCAGTCCCCTGCCCAGTGGCAGCGTGAACACGGTCAGATGAACGGGCTCGCTGCGGCCATTGGCGTTGATGCCATACAGCGCCATCTGGTAGCGTGTGGCTGGCCTAAGTGAGTGAACTCTGAAACTTGGCTGGCCGGACGTGAAGTTTGTCACGATGGGCGTATTCTGCCCATCCTGCAGCTCCAACAGGAAAGTCTGCTGCTGTCCCACACCACTGCGCTGGCACACGACGTGTACGCCTTCTGACGTCACTTCCTCGACGCTGCAGTTATATGGCGTCACTGGAGGGCCTGTAGGAAACAGTAATCATAGTGTTTATTTTTTTAGTAAACACATAAAGTACCAGCGTATCAATGAACTCACTCGTTGAAACACCTGAATTGAATTTATTGATGTTTCGAAGTTCATTCTCGACGGGTCTCGGGTGGTTTTGTTTACATTTTCTTTTTGCTTTCTGTTGATGATTATTTCGGCACGCCTTCTTCGCAAAACAATGAAAAATAGATATCATCGCGAAAATGCTCCAGCCCACGCAGTTTACGTGGTTTAATTGAGAGTAAATATGTGACCCTGATGAAAGCATAATAGTTTCGCAGAACGAACATACCTACTTTGACTCTTTGACATCGTGATCGCTATTACTACGGTGACAAAAACTTTTCAACGGCATTTATGACTGTCTGCGAATCAAATCTGTAAACTTTTTAAAAGCTGCCACATTTATTGTGATAACCGTAATTCAACAAATCGCTCCTCAGTAGTGTGAAATTTATTATATAGTGTGCTCCTGCTGTGTGATTATCATAAAACACAACTCTTGTTTTCATGCTCACGATAGACGTATGGCGTCTATGTTCTTGCTTGATTTTATCATTACTTGTTGTTGCCTTTTACCCCTAACGCAATTTGTAGCGAATCATTTTACTCAGGCAAATTTCGCAAAGGCTGTGCTTGACTAGCAAACTAATAACTACGACCAAGTAGCTTTAAGTTGAGTATCGATCGTTCAGAAAAGCTTTCATGCTAAAGTATACTGTGAACTCGAAGAAGTGGTTCGAGCGCATTAAATGAGCTCATGACTGTGGCCGTTTACGGTTACTGAGACGAACGAATGCTTACGGATTCAGATTGAAAGCGTCCATCACAAGGCCATTTCTGTCCTAACCTCTAGATTTATGAAGGTCATAAAAGAAACAAACCTCATCGCGGCAGCAGCATGCATAGATATTCCAGACACACTCGTAATATGCCTAAAAGAATCAAGTCTGAGATCCGTGTGATGCAGGTCGTGGTGATACCAAGACTCGCGATCCGAAGAAAGGAGTTGCACCAAAGCGTCTAAAAACTGGGCTGATGACATGCTGCTACATTCTTTGCTTCTTTTCAGTGGATGTTATATTAATTTCTGCGTAAGCAAACTAGTTGAACTTGGCCGCCGTGGATGGCATATCACTCCGAAAAAAGCATGACAGCCTTAGATCTATTGATGGATCATACATTTAAACATCGATTGGCAATACCTCCTTAGACACCTTTGGCAATGCCTGATTTTGTGCTGGTTATTCTATGAATTGAAATTACGCATCGAATAAGGGTAAATCTGTGCAGGCTGACGTTGTGTTGGTACATATGATAAAGACGAATGACTGCACATTTACTTCATTTTTTTAGCCAGCTCAGTCGCTTTTTATTGCCAAATAACAATGTACATTTTTATGTTTGTATCCTTTGCAACGTGCGCCAATCAGACAATCGAATAACGATTGTTATCGTCGCACAGGCTGCTCTGTTGAAGGCCTTCTGGCCCAGCTATTACTTTTTTTTTCAGCCTCTGTGCCATATTCCGCCTCTTCGAGCTTACGGATTCGCACAAATACTCTTACTTCTACCACTTTTTATGGCCTTTTTTTCTTCATGGTGTTTTGTTACTGGAGACACTTGAACCTGGCCTCTACATGCTGAAACACTTTAGCACTGTTCGATGAGTCGATCGTAAAGAAAGGCCGGGGCTGCGGCAGCTGCGAGGTTAGCGAGGAAGGTGTGTAAAAAAAAAGTCACCCGGCGGACCATCTGCAAGCAGGGTTAAGAACAGGAAAGATCGTAAAAGTGCTTCAGCCTCTAGCCATTCCAAGCCAGGCGTTGCGTGTTCGATCCCTGGGTTCTCCGAAAGAACACTGACGCTGACATGTGCGCGTTAGCGATATTTCGTTCGTTGCTTTTAAATTTGAGAAGAGCAAAGTAAAAAAAGAAAGAAAGGTGGGAGGCGAGTAGTGCCAAGCTAATCAGAAAAGTGTTTTTTTCTGTCACCGCCGTGGTCATTTTTTTTAGAATCTGAAATGCCTGTTTTACTCGCAATGTGTTTCTACGCCTGGTTTTGCTATTCTAATAGCATTTTATTTCTGTAGAACTTGAAACTACCATTTAGGATTATTGTGTACGGAGCCCGTGGTATTGTTTATCAATGTAGCGTTCTTGCATTGCATTTGCTGAAGCAGAAAAGCGTAAAGAATCCTACTGTCATTCTGATACATTTAACTTTTTATCCTGTGGCGACGAGGCATGAACTAGGAGCAGTATTTAACATATCCGATGTTATCACCGAATTACAAAACATGACATTTTTTCTTGTACATACCTTTATGATACTGCTCGTACTTCTGATAAAAAAAAACTAAAAGGCCTGGGAACTAGGCATGGTATGTTAATCTGCAGGATTCTTTCTTGCGGCATGCTCTTCAGTGAATCAGGTTGAGCTTACTTTTAGATTGTGTGGTGTACACGTATCCCGAAGGAGTACGGCCACCAGCGTGGGTTCGGTCTTAGCGAGCCGCAGGGCACGCGTTAACCGTCGCCGTGGCGGGAAACACGATACTGCTCAAGTCGCAACACTTTATTGTGGCAACACCAAACGCAGTACAGCCCGTTGCAAATAGGCGCGGCGGGAAAGCAAGTAGGCTTATCCACGCCACGGGCACAAAGTACTACACAGGGGTGCCACGAGCACGTCTCCGCGGTAAAGGTGATCCACGGAGACACCGGGACAAAGGGCCCGGTTGCTCGAGCGAGGGCAAAGGCGCTCGCGTTGGCTTCGAAGGGAGACGGGTCGGCGTAGCTAGGCCACGCACTAGGACACCGTACTGCCCTTCGGCCGTGAGTACGCAGCGGGGCAACAAAAGGTGAGCGTTCGCATCGGGCGCGAGGCGCCGTCAGCGAAGTCCGACGAGCCCCGAGCGACGGGACTCGACGGACGGAAAAGAATGCGTGGCTCACCGTTTGAAGTCCCGGACTGTACTCCCCGCTCCCGACGCAGCGCGCGAAAAACCTCTTGCGAGTCCCCGCGCGCGGCGCCACAGTCAACATCCGCTACCGGGTGAGGGAGTTAAACGTCACTCCACCTTTCCCAGCGCGGCAGACAGCAAAGGAGGGCAGACATGTCGGGACATGAGAATGGCAGAAAGGCGGGAAAGCCCGCGCAAAGGCAGCGGGCCAGCCTCAATTCCCACATCCCCCTCTCCTAAACTTGTCCTTTACCGGTCTGCAAAAGGCAGCCGGACCTCACCCATGCAGTTAAAATGACACTGCAATGAGCGGTAGCTAACCTCAGTCCAGCCCTGCTACTTTAAAAAAAATATGATTACAAAGGAGAAACAAAAACATAAATAACAAAATAAACACACGACACTATAAAGATACTGCAGAAGGGAGCACAGCAACGTGGCACTAGTGTTCGTGGTGCTAAAGGGGGATAGCGTCCAGTGCGCGGAGGTGCGGTAAAGGCGTGACAGTGTCCGCTGGGTGCGATGCCCGAGTGCGAGGTCACAGGTACCGGAAGGGGGCTCACTGATGGCTTGTTGCTGCTCTTGATAAGCCGCGAGTCCGACGAAAGCCGCTTCGGTTGTTCGGAGGCCCCGCATTTCTGGCTCGATGACGGAGCTGGATGTTGCGAGAAGCCGGGCCTCTCCGGTGGTCAGGGAGGCCGAACCAAAAATGGCTGCGAGGCGCCCTGGCGTTGGCGGGCAGCGTATAGCTGCTTTCAGCTGGCCTCGCGCAGGAGCCATGGTGGAAAAGGCAGCACGGCTTCTTCGGCGACGGCCAAGAGCAGAGCACAGCCAGATGGTCTGACGTCAGTGGGTCAATGACCCCCCAGCACCTCCAGTGTCCGCGTCGATGGAGGGCAGCCATGACGCACTCTTCGCGGGCTCGCACTGAAGCGTCACGCACTTACACACGCACGCACACACACCGCCGACGGCTGCGCGAGCGTAGGCGCAAAGCGTCCTTCGTCTCTCTCCCTCCCGGCAAGCACCGACACACAAGGTCACACACAGCTCCCTTCGCGGTAGACGAAACGAATACGGAAAAAAAGTAAAAACAGAGCAAAACTACACTCAACATCTGGCGAAAAACATAAAACACAAATAACACTTAATATTAGACAAAAAGAAACATAAAATACACATGAGCACTTGAAAAAAAAAAAGAAACACTGGCAGCAGACACGGCGGGGTCAACTTCTTTACGAGAAAAGGCCGTAAAGAAGCTAACCGATACTGAGGCTAGACAGTAAACTGAGGGCCTTCGGTTGCGGAGAAGTCCGCCGTCCGGCGCGAAATCACAAAGGTGACCGCTTCCTCAGATTATACCGGTGCGGGGTCCGAATGCGGTCCGCCGCTCCGGGTGTGCCCGTTGCTTGCGCGAAGTGCCGCAGGGCACTGGCGCAAGCTCGTCAGACCATGACAAAGGGCTTCAGGTCTGCGATGTGGGCACGGCTGAGTTTTCCCAAAGGGGATCCTTCAGCTAGTACGCGCCACGGACGCTCACTGACAATCGGTTCATAAGACCGGGCGGCTTTCCAACCCTTGGCTCAACCGTTTGTCAGACGTGGCAGGCACGGAATAGCGATAAAAGCCACGCTTCGTGCCGGGCCAGGTCACAACATTGCTCAGTTTGCAAAAACTTTCGAACCACTCAGGTGACCGGCCATGGGTTCGTCGTGAGAGGATCGCAACAGTGCGGCTCTCAGACTTTTGGGCATAACCACCTTAAACGGGTCTATGGACTCGTCGTCAGTGGCTATATATTTCAGCAGGAGCCCGTCATGGTCCAGCAAAATGAATCCGCCGGGGACTCAGCGACACACGCTGTTTCAGCCCCCTAATCGCGCCCGCCGCAGAACAAGCAGCGTAACGGCGCTCCGCGCCTCGTCAAGACGGTTTAACGGCGCCCGCCGCAAAGCAAGCAGCGTATACGGCGCTCCGTCCCTCCGAGACTCGAAACGGATCACTCTGCTGAGCCGTCAGTAGCTCTTCGCTGCCGAAAGCAATTCCCATTCTCCCAAATGGGGGAGTCTGGTATCGCGCCCACTCAGGACCGCAGCAACCGCCGCGTGAGTCGGCGTTACGGGTTCACTCTCGGCCTCGTGGCCTTCGGAAAGCTCCCCCGCTCGGCCGCTTCGCGGTGCGCCGCTTACCTGGTTAGCAGCCAAGGTTTGTCCGCATGGGGACTCGCCCTTCTCGCCGAATGGCGGCGAAGCTGCTGTTTCGCCCCCGACGCTTGCATGTGCTAAGGCACCGCGAGCGGCCGTCGCACCGAAATGCAGGTTCTCGGCAGACAACAAGGGGCACGAGATAGCGCGTCAGCTACCACGTAGGAGTGTATTCACCACAAAAAGGGGTGGCGACACAGGCGAGCGCCGAAGGGCGCCCGTCGATAGAGGCGGTGGCCTCTTGGTGCAACGCGGCATGCCACGAAGCAGACAACGTTCGGGTAGGGCAAGAGGCCCATTCCGAAGCGACGCGCCATCTCCAAAGGGAGCGGCTAGGCGCCTCGTGTCGTCACCGCAATAGGGGGTGCCGATACAGACGGGTGCAGAAGGGTTCCCGTCAATAGAGGCAATGGCCTCCGTGTGCAACGCGGCATCCGCTAAAAAGGGACAGCGGACAAAAGTCCCGCGAAGCAGCCATGTTGCGACGAGCCCGAATCGCGCAGGCGAACTGACTCGCTAAGAGCAGTCAAAAGCTAGAGCTTTTGATACCGCGTTGGGCGCCAGTGTGGTGTACACGTATCCCGAAGGAGTACGGCCACCAGCGTAGGTCCGGTCTTAGCGAGCCGCAGGGCACGCGTCAACCGTCGCCGTGGCGGGAAACACGATACTGCTCAAAGTCGCAACACTTTATTGTGGCAACACCAAACGCAGTACAGCCCGTTGCAAAAAGGCGCGGCGGGAAAGCAAGTAGGCTTATCCACGCCACGGGCACAAAGTACTACACAGGGTGCCACGAGCACGTCTCCGCGGTAAAGGTAATCCACGGAGACACCGGGACAAAGGGGGCCCGGTTGCTCGAGCGAGGGCAAAGGCGCTCGCGTTGGCTTCGAAGGGAGACGGGTCGGCGTAGCTAGGCCACGCACTAGGACACCGTACTGCCCTTCGGCCGTGAGTACGCAGCGGGGCAACAAAAGGTGAGCGTTCGCATCGGGCGCGAGGCGCCGTCAGCGAAGTCCGACGAGTCCCCGAGCGACGGGAGTCGACGGACGGAAAAGAATGCGTGGCTCACCGTTTGAAGTCCCGGACTGTACTCCCCGCTCCCGACGCAGCGCGCGAAAAACCTCTTGCGAGTCCCCGCGCGCGGCGCCACAGTCAACATCCGCTACCGGGTGAGGGAGTTAAACGTCACTCCACCTTTCCCAGCGCGGCAGACAGCAAAGGAGGGCAGACATGTCGGGACATGAGAATGGCAGAAAGGCGGGAAAGCCCGCGCAAAGGCAGCGGGCCAGCCTCAATTCCCACAATTGACATGTCTCGAAGATATACGTAAAAACATATTCAAAAGAATTCTGCAATTATTCACCTATAATCTTGTGGTTGAGACGTTTCAACTAGGGTATGTTTCGAAACAGACTTAATTTAAAGTGGCTGATAATATCAAATGCGTAGGCAGGTTCCTTACGGTTGTGCCAATTCAGCTACTAATTTCGTACGTGACTCGACGAGGTGGTCTCGGCAATATGCTTCCGATTTAGGTTTCTTCGAATGAGTTCCTTATGACAGACGAAAATATTGATACATTGGGGAGTATTTATAAAAACAATGTGTAAATGACTACCTCGGCCAAACAAAGTGCTCTAAAGTCGCGAATGACCGCTTAGCAAATATATGCAGATCATGACTCAGTCCCCACGTGGGAGCTGCCCGCAACACAGTGATCTGTGTTTTGGAGGACCAAATAAAAGTTTATCCAATCCAATGAGTGAAAGAAACACCGCTCACCGACGGGGTGTATCTGGAAGATGCAAGGCTCGAGGCTGTCGCCGACGGCGTTTCGAGCGCGACAGTAGAGCGTGCCGTAGTCGGCGTCCGAACGCGGCGTGTAGCGCAGCACCGAGCGCAGCGGGGCGCCCGGTGGCGTCGAGAAGCTGGCGTTCGGCGACAGCGGAGCGGTGCGATGCGCCTGGTGGAATGTCCAGGAGAAGGTGACGTTGTTCGGATCCGCCTCCACGTCGCATTCCACCTCCACCGTGCCGTGCTTCGCCACCGAGAGCGAGTGCTGCCGGTGGCCCGACTGGCACACCGGCGAGTCTGCAACCATAATGACCACGTGAGACGGGAAGAAGAGTTAGGGATAGCTCGAAGAGCACAGATACAGTGTAGTACAGGCATGGGCAAGCAAAATGAGCGCAGAAGCTTGCGCTACGTTGCAATGCTGGGTCGCAGCAGAACTGCTGGACACCTAGGGGGTGTCCTGGCACGGCGATTTCTTTCTAGCAAGTTTTACAAGAGTTGACGCTCATCCACACATGACTTCACTTTGTGCTTTCGTGGCCTCTCTCGTAAACCGAGTTCTGGCCGTTAGCTTATAAAACAGTATCAATTTGCCAGCACATAACCACACCACTTCAACACGATTACAGTTACTTGATTAACTTGACTCAAAATATAATCATAATTAGCTCAATAAGGTTTTTTTAAATATTTGGGCTTAGTCTTTATTAACTCGCTTTCTAAGCCCTGCGTGGGCTTAGATAATAGATAGTTGCCGCGGGTAAGACTTAGTGTTAACTCGCAATAATTAGTTGCATTTAGGTTTTGGTCAGCAAGCTTTGACGTTACTAGCCTCAAAAAGAAGCCACTATAGCCTAATTAGAAGCAATTATGCTTTTTCTTAAGTGCCCTAATTATATTTAGGTTATTTGGTGTTATCATACCAAACTAAGCTTAATAGGAGTTGCATACAATTCACTTGCTTCAACTATGCTTATTTCAGCTTCTTTGGGTGGACGTGCCAAAGGCAAGCTGGAAATAATCGCACTTTTAACACGTTAGCTTGAAGGACCCATCTTAAAGAAATTTCTATTTCCCCTTGGTCAATTGTGGGAAAAATATGCGTTGTAGATCAGTAAAGAATGAAAAAGCTGCAAATAAATTTAAAAAATCTTCAGTTTAGTGGGAATTGAATACAATCCTTCTGCATGGTGAGCAGGTGTTCTGCTGTGTTTCCTCGTCTCTGCTCGAAATTGCTTTGAAAAATAAAACGCTATACGAAAGTTATTAGTACGAACAGCCGACTTGCGCATGTAATATTGCCCGGCAGAAGCTAAGAATCACGCCAAGCGTCAAAACGTATACATTGCACGGCGAGTGCTTCGTTTAAAGTTCTAGTTAAAAAAAGTGAACATGCGTGTTACGAATCACTATTATCGTCAACTGCACCAACAAAGTGTGCTGCTGCGCGGGTGTGAGTGTTGTATTAAAGACTCGTGTTAGGTGATTCACCAACCTGCAAAGACAGGAACTATGCCGTGGTTTGCACTTGGCAACTCAATTCACAGCAGACATTCTGTTATAGTTGGAAGCGCCCATTGTTACGCAAAAAGAAAGGAACTTCTTTGCGCGACACGGTGTCCACCGAGAAGCCAAGGCAGGCTAGCAATTGAGAAGGTGATGCGAGTGGGGCCTGATTACGCAATTGCGTTCTGCTCTTGAAGGCTAATGTCAAGCGTCTTTGAAGTTTTAAAGCACAGAACTCGTTTCCACGTTGAGCAGCGTCGCTGGCGTGGTAACCGGACGAGGGAGCGAGGTTGAAAGAGAGCGAACGCTGAGCGCTGCCGGGGATGCAAAACAGCGATAGCAAAGGGTTGGCGTGGAAAAGATTTCGACAGTGGCGAGACAACATGTTCCGCGGTGGTCACCCACTTGCCAAAGTAGTGCGGGCCGTCACACGTAGGGTGTTTTGCAATGCGCTGTCTCTCGGCTAGCGAGGCCGTCATGCAACGCTTCTTTGCAGCGGTTGATGTGAAATGAACTGCACGAACTTGTCCGCGCAAGTCATGCTCCTTACGGCATTTTCTCGTTAATGTATACCGTACACTTATATAGAGAAGAGTCGCAGCTAGTTGTTTCTGAACAATAAGCGAGAAAACTAGGGTAAGTCCATCGTCAGCCGCTGCTGTTAAACGAGCTGGTCAAGCAGAGGCAGCACGCTTAGGGCACCAGAATCCAGAGGTGTGCGTTGCCGAAGCAGGGGCGTTCCCTTCGATTTCTCGCAAGATCAAAACGCCTAAGCAGCTGCGCTCTGAAATCGCAGTAGGCACTAACCTAATCACTATTGATTTTAGGGGCGAAGCCCCGTACGCTATGGATCGTATGTCCTGTGTCGTCGTAGTCATCAGTAGTATCCAGTTGCATTGCATGTCAATAAAATCGGTGTTACAGCATATCCACGGAGTGAATGATGATGAGTCGGGCGAAGCGTCAGTCATCAGTCCATCCGTCCATTCGTGCGTTCGTCTGTGCGCCCGTCCAGCTTCAACCCACTCGTCATCATTCATCTCGTGTATTTGCTGCAATTTTTTTTCTGCATAGACTACTCAAGCAAAGCTAAAGCATACAAACTTAGCTGTAAAAAATTCTTGTAAATTTGTAAGCGGCAAGTTATGAGTTGGCTAGAGGAGAAACAGATTATATGAATATTATTGTTCGAGATGTTTCGTTAACGGCAACGTATTTTATTGAAAAGGTGGCTTTGTTGTAGTAACAGTATCTATGTTGCAAAGCACGCTTTACAGAGATCAACTTGTCTCGTCAGAAAGGAGGTATTATGACTCCTATTCTCTAGAGAAAACAGTTATCACGCCACTGCTAGATATCTTGAAGTGCATCTCACGACATGATAGGTTAAACACCTATGTTACGGTTAAACACCATAGTTAGGTTAAACACATGTTAGGTTAAACACCACAATCCAACGCGACAACAAGCAAATGTCAAATTCGAAGACCAGAAACTTCTACCTATCTTGTTTTACTTTTCCGAGGCAGTTGACTGTTTCCTCCCTCAGTAACATTAGACATTTCGTAACTTCCGCAACGTTATTCCAACATGTCTAAATACAGCACATGCAAATACACCAAACGAGGATTCCGTAAATTTATTTTCTACACCTAACGCCAGCATTACGTGAACAGGGATACCTCTAGGAATAGTATAACACTGAACGTGGAAAACTCACGAAGAACCCTGAGCCGGAGGCGGTTGCTTTCGGCTTCACCTTCCGAGTTTGCAGCATGGCAGGCGTAGAAGCCACTGTTTGTACGGTTGACCGAGCGCAGCGCCAACGACTGGTTGCTAACGATGACGCCACGGGAACCATCCGTGTGGAGGTCTCGACCATCGAAGGCCCACGACACCTCGCTCACCGGTGGGTTTGAACGCACACTGCACTCGAAGTAGATGTCGATGCCCTCGTGGATGTTGGAAGGCCTGAGGCCGCTGCCTAGCCGTAGCTGCACCAGTGGTTTGTCTGCGCAAGTTTATCAGGCAAAGATATTTAGCTTACGCAAAAACAGTGGTGCTAGGAGAGATCTGTAAGCGAATACATGATGTGTGCTCGTCTAAGCGAGGCCACAAATGAGGAAGACGCGTTAGGTATAGGAATTTATGTTGCACTAACTACTTATGAGCTAAGAACCCACTGATCATTATATAGTTACCTAACATAAATGAAATTGCTCGAATAGAGTGAAAAAAAAAACCAGAAAAATCCGCGTTTATGCTCAAACAAAGGCTAGCAAATAAAGGCAGCAACACCACCGCTTGTTTAGGCACCTTCAACTGGTTGAACAAGAACTGCGTTATTACCAGGATTTTGTATGTGCAACTTAGCTTTGTCCATATACATTATGACTTGAACGTGATAATATGAATTAGTAGCCAATTCGTTTATTTTTCTTTATGGTCCTTACATTGTTGTTTGCGATCATTACCGGCACAAGAATTTGGCATTGTGAGCTCGAAGCTGCCCAGAATACAATAGCGTATAGAATACCCCCATAATTTCGTGACTGGTAAATCAGTAAGACAAGCTCACCGTTGTGTGTCTTTATTACGGTGTTACAAAATACACCGATCGTAGCTTTTCAAAAAACAATGGTAACACAGTTAACACTTCATACGCTTACGACGAAGTATCACACTAATAGTGGAAAAAAAAGAACAAAAATGTAGTTCCTAAAAACTTATTAGTACCAGAATGAACTAACGTGACCTTGAGACTAACTTCATGCACCGTGAGAAATTTTCGTATTGTGACATCATAACTCTGGAGATACAGATAGCGGCTCACGTCGAAATAACGAAACCTTTAGTTGTGCACATCGTACTTTCAGGCTGAAATACATTATGTCGTTTGGGAAAAGCGTAATGATGGTTAGAACATTTCTATAAAAAAATGTCTGGGTATTTGAACACAGAGGATTTATTTACAGAATAGCGGCGATGTTATCCTGAACTACGGATTGCTCTGACCTTCTACTCTACCCGAACTTCTACACTCGCTTTGCCGTTCTAACCGGTAACTTCTTGAGCACTAGAAACACTTTGAGCCTTCTATGCACGTTACAAACAAAGATGTTTGAGTGACAGTGGATTCAGTGTATAAATAAAACTCCTTCTACGCTTTAAATGTCTTTTTTCTCGGAGGCACTCGTGCTTCTGAACATAATGTTAATTTTAAGGGCGCCTAGAGAGTAGTTAATCTTTTCTTTATTCCAAGGTAAAATTGCACAGCACGAAGCTGCAAGAAAAAAAATCCACCCGGTGCATATAACAAAGCGGTGCTTCAGCGTTACGCTTGAAGTGAATGTTTCGCAACCAGTCTGTCGAGACGCACTTCACGCAAGTTCATGGTGCTTGCACATAAAATTTTCATCAGTTAGATGTAGGCAGAATGAGGCACTTTCTTGTGAGCCCATTTTCATAGTTGTTCTAGAGTTTAGCAAGTATACAGATGTTTGTTTGAGCTACCATAAACGAGATAACAAGCCCTCTAGACATTTTATCAGATGCACGTAAAAATATGCTGCACTTGGCTGTTTTTCTTTCGATTGTCTTCAAGCACGAACATGTAAGCACATAAAAATATTTGTCCGTAAGAAAAGCTTAGCAAGTTTGAAGCGGAATCTGTTGTGTAAGCATAAACCCCCATCTAGACACCATCTTGTTGTACTTGGAAGTATTTTAATACTTACACCCTACCAGACAAACGCTTTGTGAAGTGCACGCAACAGAGACATTGGCGCCCTTTAGGTTGCGTCATCTCAAGGCACTTCGAAGCTAAAAAGCATTTCTTAGGTAAGGAGAGGGAAAATATTGTTTTATTGCCTAGCGGCGTAGTGAAAGGAATACTTATACCGGTTAGGTGACTGCTTTTGGCGAATGTTTGGTAAAGCTCTGCTCGTTTTTTACTTCTCTACTTCATTTTTATATTTCAAACAGTGCAGCGCAAAGCAACTCTCGGATGGAGGCTGTACATACACCACATTACCTTCGGCTATCAAAAGTGCATGCATGAAATCTTCAAACCAGCAATAGGTTTACGAGAGTGCCTCGATGCGGCGCACCCATCGAATTACCTTAGGTTTACCCACTTCAGCATAGAAGTCTTGTTTTAAGACGGCTTATTATACAGGGATATATTTCTGGAGTATATCGGCATGCTTACTATCAGTTTCATAATAGATGTCATGCTATTTTTATTTGGTATAGCTTCTTGTACACATTTTAGACCATTTATGGTTAATAGCGTCTGCCCGTTCCATAAGCGCTATACTATCATGTTGCTACGGTTATCTCTTTTTTTTTTGCTGATGAAACATCGCTTTTTAATAACCATGAAACTTCGCTGCGCATCAAAGCGCCCACCACTACAAAAAAAAAAAAGAGTTAACGTCCCTACGTGGCTCTTTCTGTTCTTGGAATTCTCTACGCAGTATATAGTCATGTGTGGTTCAAGATTACCAACGACTTCAGCTGCGATACGCGGAGAGATAACCAGATGCTAAGCATACAAGGCAATATGTGTGATATATAATATGCTAAAGTTATACCGCTACAAGCACAATTTTGGAATTTCGCAACAGATATCAAGCGATGATATCAGGTGAACAACGAGGCGATGCTTCTTTTCGAAGCATCTCCTGGTTAAAGAATCTTCGGTCTTAACTTACAGTGGACATCCAGTATCCAGGCGTCCTCTAGAGGCGGAGATGTGCTGCCTTGCGCTCCCACAATTGCTGAGTTTGAGGCGAGGCAGCGAAGCCTGGCACCGTGGTCACGGTCACTCGGCACGAAGTTCAGCACTCCCAGAGTAGTATTAGGTGAGATGACGTGCGTCTCTGTGTCATTCAGCTGGTATGGCCCCAAAAACCAGCGAACGAGGGCTTCTGGTCGGGAGCCGTTCACCTGGCAGATGACCTGCGCTGGCAGCTCCGCAGACAGTGGTCCACGGGGTCCCTTGATCTCAACCGAGACTGGTTTCACTGCGTGACGAAATTGAATGGGAAAACTTATTATGTTTTTCTATTTTCGAGACAGCACAATTGGCGAGCCTTAGCTTAGGGAAGCCACAGACGGATCACTTAACGCATTTCGTTTAAAGCGACTGTTACATAAACTGATGGCTTACAAAAGCAATGTCAAAAGTGAATGAGAATAGATCAGTTACAGCAAGAAAAGGATAATGGCTCACAATACGCAGGCGTTACCGTTACTTACCTTTGCGTTTGCTATCTATGCAATCCTTTCTTCAGTTTTTTTATATTGAACTGATCTATCTGCACCCTGAGAAAAGATACAGTAAAAAAGAGCATACGTACATACGTACGTACATACATACATATATACATACATGCATACATGCATGCATACATATATACATGCATGCGTACATGCATGCATACATGCATATATACATACATACACACATACATACATACATACATACATACATACATACATACATACATACATACATACATACATACATACATACATACATACATACATACATACATACATACATACATACATACATGCATGCATGCATGCATACATACATATACCGAACGTGACGGCGACTGCAGAAACCCGAGTGTCCATATAATTTCTATCGCCATAAGTTAAGGCTACCACCTCATGTCTCATACGCGCGTGTTGGACATGTTCAATCCGATACAATGCGGCAGCTCCTCATCCACCTTTCCATCCACGAAACAACGCCTGACTCTACCTCGAAAAAAAAATGGTTGTCATATCATCAAGCAGTGCCATCCGTAACGTTGACAACCCTGTTGTGCTTGCGCCGGGAGAGCATCCATGCACGCTGGCTACAAAAAGCGCTGAAGGGAGACCCTAAAAGACGCCTTTTACGACACGCCATTCCGACGTTAAGGCCACCGCTACGCGTCGGTGGCGGCGGGAGATATCTTCGGTGCCCCGCTGAAAGGAGCGCATCCCCTTTTTTGTCAGGGCGTGCGAGAACGCCACAATCCCTACCCGTCAACTATCCTCCCAGCTCATTGGTCCTTATTTAGGTTCAGTCATGAAGTGCCACTCATCTTCTTTTGTGTCCTTCTTTCGTTACCACGGCCATTCAGCATCTCTCCTAGGATCCTTTACACCTTCTGCGTCGTCTCGAAATAGGATCCTTGTTCTTCCTCTCGCATTCGGCGACACAAGGAATGCGCAATGTATATGTCAAAGATGCACACACGTCTTTGCAATGTTTGCACCTCCTATCTAAGTATTCAAACACCTGCTGTCACACATTATGTTTAGACGAGAAGCACTTACAGAACTTCGGGAAGTTCGACCACATCTAGCCGCCTACGACTAGTAGCTCTCATGACCGTTGGAATAGTGTGGTCCATACTAAAAATGGTATGGCATAACATGACTGTACAACGAGCATAAGAGACTAGTCATAACAAGAAAATCATGACATGTTATGAATGTCATGATTTACATGTCAGAGTCTTGCTGCTCCAGCGGTGGTTTCATTCACATGACGTATAGTAACACTGGTATGGTATAATATGACTGTGTGCCCCGCCGTGGTGTTTAGTAGCTAAGGTACTCGTCTGCTGACCCGCAGGTCGCGGGATCAAATCCCGGCTGCGGCGGCTGCATTTACGATGGAGGCGGAAATGTTGTAGGCCCGTGTGCTCAGATTTGGGTGCACGTTAAAAGCTCCAGGAGGTCGAATTTTCCGGATCCCTCCACTACGGCGTCTCTCATAATCATATGGTGGTTTTGGGATGTTAAACCACACATATCAATCAATATGATATGACTTCGTGGCTAACATAAGTGACAGGCCCTCACGAGGAAATGATGTCATGCGTGTAATGTAAAGACATGATTACATGCCACGCTGATTATGCTTTCGCGGTCAGTTTGCTAGCTTTTAATATACCAAATTCGGTAACACGTGGTGAGAATAGATAACGAAGATAAATGACACGTATAAACATGATAATCAAGAAATGTGTGTTACGTAAAACAGTACTACATTTGACGCTTCTAGCGTGATTCTGGCCGTTTGGCCAGCTTTCCATATACCAAATTTGCTAAAACCTGACGTGAAAGGACGGCCATCTCAAATGCCAGGTGATGAACATATTAATCATGACCTGAAAGCCATGTACAGCACAATTTACGTCAACAGCTTGATGATGTTCTGAGTTTTATGTGACAACTCATCCTTCCACAGTCATGCTTCGCACATAATCGATTCTCACTGCACGGGAGGATATTATTTTTTTTCAAGCTTGCACGTCATACATTTTCTTTTATAACGGCCAACTAAAGTCACACTGTCTGATTCCCCTGAAACACGCCAAAAGTATGATGAGGTGCAAGCACTTTTGTGTGCCGTTGTACAATACTGGTTATTAACAAAGGATTAAAGATAGAGAAAATTACTAAAAATACAATAAGGGCATAAACATTACACCTTAGGCCATACAAAAAGTATTGCTGTAATATTTTTCAGCGATTGTACGTAGAACGTACACTTCGATCTGCAGGCATAAAGTGAGAAGTTCAAGTTTCGCGAACCATTATACATAGCTCAAAGCACGGCAGTAAACTGAACAAAGATTATTGCAACGGTACAAGAAGCACTCATAATTAGAGCAGGTGCTTTTTCAGAGGGAAACTGGGATTGGTGAACCTTCGATACCTGAACGGAAGATGAGTATATCAGTGCACAACGGCCCCTGTGAGCATCGCTCCCTATGTCTGGATCTTACGTCATGTGGGCATCGTTTTCAACCTTCTTATCTCTTACACAAAGCATTGCACGCTGCCGCATCTCTTTTGGATGCAAATTAAGCTGTGTCTTGTACTTGCACTGATGTAAAATATTGTTGACTTTGCCCAAGTTTTAAGAACCCTACGAGACAAGCTGTGTATTCTAATGCTTCCAATCTGCAAGGTAACAAGTGCCCATCGGTTAAGCTGTGTCTTGTACGTGCACTGATGTGAAATATTGTTGACTTTGCCCAAGTTTTAAGAACCCTACGAGACAAGCTGTGTATTCTAATGCTTCCAATCTGCAAGGTAACAAGTTCCCATCGGTTGTTACGTGTCAACGAAACAAAAAATAACGAATTGTGCGTGGGTTCTACCAAAAGTTGTGTTGCATGCTGTCTTTGTGTCAATCACATAAATGCATACTCGATTTCGTCTTCATATAAATCATGTTGATTATACAATTCTATGTAGCAACACTCACGTTCGTGCCCTTGAGTGGCTTAAGAAAAAGCTCTTCAATTGCACCTGGTTCCACGAAGATGTGAACATCGTCATGAAGCAGACGTCAGCCCTACTTTTAGTGTACGCAATGGCGCTTCTCGTTACTTGATCGCTGCCACCACTATCCTCGTTATGGTTCATCAATCCTCCGGCTCCTGTGAGGAAGATTGGCGAAATGGGCAGCGAAAACCACTTATCGCCACCTCTGAACAGGCCACTTTCTGGTTAATCGCCATGTTTCTGTCTCTCTGCAATCTCACGGAAGAAATCGAAACAGGAGTATCACCCGAAACTTGTTCTCGAATCGGCTGGCTCAGCCTGACTGGCATCCAACCCTTTCCGAAGAGCGTCTCTCCATCCTCTCAGTCATCTCAACATCCCTCTCGGCTATTCCTCCCTTCACATGCATCACGCACGAATGGCCACGCTCGTGAACAGGCCGCCTCGTAGCCTTCCGAGAATCTCAGGCTGTAGAAAGGTGGCCGGTGATCCATTAGAGGCAGGGTATACCGATCGTCATTAGAGGGCCACTGGTCGCCCGCGACCAGATTGAAAGCTTAGCCTTAATGGAACCCTGCCGCTTCGCCCTCGGGTTTGGCCAGGAGCCAAGGGAGCGGCGGGTGGTAGGCTTCGGCAGAAAGTCCTGGCGCAGATGAGGCGACGACCTCAAATCGGTGCGCACTAAAGCCTGACCGATTCTCACACAAACGCACTCCCTTCAGCGTAGAAAAGCAAACAATATCATGTAAAAAGGGAGTGCTAGGAACGATTGGCGTGCGGCTGCATCGACCAGATGCGCTGAGCGCGACACAAAGCACTCGATCCTGGACTGCAGATAGGCTCTGGCACACTTGGCTTAGTGGCGTGAACGTAACCCACCCAGTTTTGGAAAAACAACGTGCACCGGCGCTGAGACGCATTGGAACTTGAGATGAAGCGCTGCACCATGCTCTTTAAGCTTGAACATAACAAGAAAAGAAAAGGAACTGAACTAAGTCGGGGTGTATCTAAAATGAGCAGAATGTATAATTGTTCTTTGCTTGTGCGTCTGCTTGTTTTTTGTGTCTTAAGAATAGCGTGCTTGAGACCGAACACCATGTACTTTCTGACTCTTCGTATAATAACTTTTGATGACGATATACTTTTACTGTGCGTACATTTTAGTGGCCCTTTACATATATCCATGCTTGGGTAGCGAAGGTCCTGCCGTTATATTATACAGAAGCAATGTCGCCGATAGATTCCTTATACATTGTTCCTCTGCCAAAACACTTTATGGAGCCTCTGTTGCCAAGTGCTGCTATCCCATTAAATAGGTGAAAAGATGCCTTGCGATTCGACATTAAAGAAAGCAAGTGTTATCTTCAAAGCACTCAGAAACATGAAAAAATTATTTTGAGCGCCTTTAATCAGGCCGAATTCCCAGTGCCTTCCTATTTATTTCAGCTTGATTCTGTACTACATAAAAACAATCTAAATATATGCGTCTAATGTTAAGGTAAAAAAGTATTTGGTATTATTCAGTTATTGGGTATATTAAAGGTTCGACAAAACGCTCGTTCAGGAGTTATGCACTGCCAAACATTACAATACATTCAGCGATTTGTTCATAAACACTGGATTTATGGTCTGTCTGTGTGCTTGTAATATTTCTGCAAGTGAACTTTAACTTTTATTTAAATTTTAGTTCCCGTCCTGTTCATGAAGCTATGTCCGACTGATATTTCATCGCGAGCTTGGGGTGCCTTCCGTTGGTGAACACGGAAGGTCTCATTCGAGCCCACCTTTGAACTCTGCTTCTTTTCCCGCAAAAAGTTTTCAAAGTACGGAAGAGACAAAAATCAACTACCTCAACCCAGAACTTGTTAATTTATCTATACGATTGATTCATGAAGCGGGTTGTACGCCTCATAAAGGGTGCACATTTGGATTTCATAACAGTCACTGGTGTTTATCACCAATGTTTAGATTTTGAATGAACGCTTGTAGCTTGTCTTTGTGCGCGAATAATGTTTTCATGTGTCCTAGTTGCTTCCTGATAGTTTAATTTGTTTTTCACCTTCTAATGGCTGTTTAGCTAGAATATCTGGTACGTGCCTCTGAAGTATCTTCCTACCCGTAGCGAGTTATGAAACTACATATTTAAGCTGCACCTGTAAGCTAAATCAAGAAAGGCGTGGAGTGACAAGTGCCATTGGTGATTTCCAAAAAAAAAAAAACAAAAACAAAGCCAGAGGGGAAGACGGAAGCTTGCCATGAGAAAATTGAACACAACTGATTTCGTCACTTTTCGAACATTGCTTTGTGAATGGAGATTTGATATTGTTGCTCTGGTCTTGTGTTTTTTTCTTTATATCAGTCCCCATGAATGCGAATGTTCTCATACCATATACCATACATCTTAGTTATGAATAAAGTGGAAGTGCCAAGAAAATGAGTAGCATTTAAAAGAAAAACCTCTCTTTGTTCTTGTCTCGTAAAGAGTGCAGTTGACCGAGTATAAAGGCCCAGAGAAGCGAAGCCGAAGCGAAAAAAAAAAAAAGAAGAGAAGCCGAGAAAATAAGGTCGACAATAAGTCGAGCACGCTAAGGGATCTTGTAGTTTATATGTATGTCGTCTTTGACAGCGACTTCGTGGTGCACTTAGACTAACGCCTTTGGACTGAATGTGGACTAATGCCCTAACAATCAATGCAAACAAAAACTTACTTCACCCTCCAGTCAACGGTTAAGCACAAAAAATTGGTCCTTGAACTTGTTCACAAGGCAACCGAGTCACAAACTCTCTTACTAGGATTACTTAACCTTCGAGGTTTTCTCTTCTGTAAAACGACTGTCATTTTTAGATGAGAAATAATGACATAAACGCGGGTACGGCAGACTCATTGGAAACTCTCGGCATTTACACAATCGCGCCCTCTTGTTCGCCGACGAAGTACACCCACTACGATGTTTTTGTTCTCAAAAACTTCTTGGTTGAAGTACCATCAGATGTGTTCTTTTTTTTTCGCAAATGAAATAAAACGAAATAAAGATTCATTAAACAAGAATATGACTGCCCGAAAAATTGTGTTTTTTAACAAGAAATAAAGGAAAAAAAAACTACTTTGGTGAAAAAACAAAAGGCAGAAAGCATATAAAATTGCTTTTTGCACCGTCACTCTTCTATACGACCTTGCTTGTTGATTTCCTCTTAATATACGCAATGGTAATCACGGAGTAGACGGCGCCCTAGAAACTTTCTTCCCCAAGTGGGATACTCGTGCGGATGGCCCCATAGAAAAAACAAAACAAAACATCAGTGGTCAAAGAGGACGAGACCTTCAGCCTGCGCGTGATGATTCGTCATACGAATAACTGCGAGTGGTTTCATTGGCGTTCGTAAACATAAATGCGGCTTGCACCATAGTTTGCCTAAACTGAGTCAATTGTTTGCTCCAAGTTTAGTTTGGCCAGAGGAAAAGAAGGTGCAGGCGGTACTGGGAATGTAGCTTAGGTTTTATGACTCCCGCGCTGAGTATCTCGCCATGAAGCCAACCAATGTCCCTGCGAGAAATGGCTTGGATTTCTGCTTTTTTTTTTGTGTGTGTGTGTGTGTGTGTGTGTTTGTGTGTGTGTGTGTGTGTGTGTGTGTGTGTGTGTGTGTGTGTGTGTGTGTGTGTGTGTGTGGAAAGGGGGACACTTCCTTTCATAAATGAATGCTAGGCAATAATTTTATGTGCGCCTCTTGTCCGACGCCATCTCACTTTTGTTCCGGCTATAAAAGCATTCGGCCGAAAAAAAAAAGAGAAGATAAGAAAACGGGCTCCTTGCCTTTTGCATGGCCATCGGTGAGGCCGAGTTTCATAATTGGCATAGGTTCATATATATGCGCAGATTGCAAGTGGAACATAGCACATAACGCAGAATATGCACGCAACATCTCATGCAGAATACTGGTGAGCGGATATCTTAAGCTTAATATGCGGGCAACAAACCAGACAGTAGGCGAAATCCCTATCGAAAAATATCATATGTCGCATTAAACACATATTCAATAATATCATATGATCATATGAGAACACAATATTCATGTGTGTTCATGATAGGTTATGTGTGTCCTATGAAAATTTTGGTATGAATATATTGGACATCAAATCTTAAGGGTATAATTTTTTCAGGTCTGTTCGAAAATGGTAAGCTAGAAAAGTTATTTCCGCAATCTTATAGCGATGGTGACATGAAGGCAATTTCCTTTTCACGACGATGTAGCAGGCTTTCTCTGAGCTCAACTCTTAGCACCGTAGACCTATTTTTCACAAATGCCTGTAGTTTGTTAAACAAGTCTGTTTGTGAAAAATACATCAAATAAAACGGCGAAAAAAAACGCTGATTACAACACAATAAACGTACACTTACATTGAAAAAACTATGTCGCAGCGCCCAGGAACTCTCAGCTTATAGAAAAAGTTAATCTCCGATAATTTATCCTCAAATTCCTTATAATTATATGATTAATGTTTGCTTCACCCTCTATCGCCACTTGTTCATCAGGTATTCGTATGTCAAATTATCACATTTGCTTGTCAGCAATAGCTCTTCGCCGTCCACACGTTTGCCAGTATTACGGTTGGAGCGACAAGTTGCTAGTTGAAGGTTTCAGTACCAAATATCACGTAGAAGTTTACTCATTAAAAATATAAACCTTGCAGTCCCGCGAAATCATCGTGCAAGCAGGCGAGTACTTACGGTGCATGTTGACCACGATGGTGGTGGCCACAGGTTGCGTAATGTTGCTGTTGGTTGCGCGGCAGGTCAGCCGCGCCTGGTAGTCGGCGCGCGTAAGCCTCAGTCGGAACAGCGTGGCGCGTGGATGTCCACCCGCAGTGCGGCTCAGTGCTTGCTGCAGAAGCTCCGAGCCCCGCCACCAAGTCACCACGGGCTCTGGTTGACCTACAAACAACGTGCGAAAAACAGAGAATGATTCATAGCCTTTAGGCGAAGTTATTACGCCAGGCTGTAATATTTTCTGAAATCGTATCGTCTTTATCATGTCAAAGGTTTTCTCGCATTACGTTAACCTGTCTCTTGTTTAAAACTTTACGGCAGCTTTGATTAATTGTCACTAAAACTTGTCTGTACAAAATATACAGCTATAGAAAAATAGGCAATAGTTAAGAAATGGTTCCTGACAAAACTATTTAGCCTTTCTCTCGTACCTAAACAAACCCTCAGCATATACAACGCGCAGCAGCCCGCTTTCAGTAGTATCATATGTCTTGAAAATAAAGAGCCTCAATGCATAGGACTAACATGAGCCTTACAGCCACTGTGTTTCTCCGTTGATGATGATATCAATGGACACGAAGTATTTTTCGTGCATCACTCGAAAAGGGTCAGTGGCAATGAAATTAAAATAGACAAAAAATCTTTGAGGTGTTTCAGTCTTTGATTCTGCGCGCCATTCAAATACGTATATGATATAAATTTTTGCGTTTTTAAGTAATTTCCTTAAGTAAACCGCAATGACTTCGGTACTCTACATGGCCGTAATTTGAGGAACGAGAAATTTAGACTTTCATGCGTGCAAAAAAAAAATGCTTGAAAGCCGTAATTCAGATCAGGGTACAGAGCAATTGTTTGTGGCGCTAAAGTAGTAAAGAAAGCTCACAAAACCAAGAGATAATTGATGCTGAAACTATACATATCCTAAGTTGCTGCTTGCTTCAATAACAGTTGCTCACGCAGAAGCATAGCTTGGTCCCCCGCATTTTCCCCAGCGAATGGCAGGATAATCACAATGTTTCAAAACACTTGGGGTAGATCCGATATTGGCAATCCGCTACGCAAGCTTCGCCGATGAAATAAGCTTGGGTCATTTACTAATCCAGCTCACGCCAGCTAGCTGCATACCACGCTGCTCAGATTCTCAGAAAGTTTCAGAGCAGCGCAGATGCTGAGAAAGTTATTGGGTCATGGCTGTCAGCTGCAAGCCCTAATAATACTGAATAGACAAGGAGGGAAGGGAGCGGGGGTAATGGGTCAGGAGCATAAGCGCCTGTAGCATGTGACCGTTAGGCATATGAGAGACCTCGAATTTGTGGTAGAGCCCTGTCTTCATATCACCTGCCTATACATTTCTCTGTTTCTTTTTTCTAGTTCGCCATAGGGTTGTCTGTTTTCTTCGAGAACTGCACAGGCTCACCTAAATTGAGCCCATACGCTACAGATCACAGTGGCAAGACAAGTCTCTGCCCCATCTGGACGGGCAGTGGTCGAGCGATGGCAAATAGGGCGAACGAAAATAACAGGGTTGCTTCATCCGAGTGCAGTAGCCTTTGTGTTTCTGCCACGTCTCTGTATATCCCTATTGCTTACGGCACAAAAGAGGCGGTATATGTCTCGAAAGTGAGCGTACGCGTTCCTCTTTTCACAGGCCTTTCCTCCCAGCGAACAACGAAGACCAATGCGACCAGACTCTCGCGTTTTTCTACGGACGACGCCGTCAACGCCAGATACTGTATGCTTCAAAACAATGCCTTTCCACACAGGTTATTTCTATATACGCCGCTTGACGACTCCACAGTGGCAGCTGCTTGGAGACATCGCGAGGTTCTTCTTCTGCAGACCACAACTCTTCATTTCGCCCTGTGGGAGGTCTCCCGAACCCGTCGCTTGTTTTCGTTTCCGGTGGTTGATAAGAAGAGAATGCATTCCCGTCTATATTCTTCCACTGTGTACACTGACACTGATGGTTCGGTGCAGTCGTTCCGTTTTGTCATTCAGACGCGATATGTGAACTCATGTTTGATGTCTCGGGTAGCCGAGTACGAGAATATGTGAAGAAGTAGCCTCACGAGAACTAAGGCGTTTCCTTTGATTGCTTTATACACAGGAAGAAAAATAAACAGCTATGAAAAAAAACAGGAACAAAAAACAACAGCTATGCGGTGATTCCCTGGGTGATTTAAGTGCTCTCTCGTGCAGATTGTTTTGGAAATAACGTATATCACAGTGTTTGTCAGGACAGAGATCGTGAGCACGTGTTGTTTACTTTTGTTTCACTCCCTCTCGTCGAGGTGGACCTCTTTTGCATACTTTATAACGTTTCTCGAGATATATGAACCCTTCGCTCCCGTTGAAGATTGCAGTCGTCATATGATTTTGTATTCAAAATGACCGAAGCGACTATACTCGTCATTAACAAAAACTGGTCCCACATGAAATAACTAACTATATATGCATGGCATAGTTGCGTTTTTTGGCGCTAAATAGGACAGACTTGACTATGGTGTGCCCTTTATCTCCCGGGTTTCGTTTTATTGCCATCTTTTTTGTGTAGCCTTGCGTTGAAGCATATTCAAGTTAAAATTTTTGATGACGTGATTAGAGAAACAAAGGAACCCCATCAAATTTAACTAAGAAAAAAAGCTGGACAAATAGAGGAGGAAAAGATCTGGTAAATTTGGTGCAATCTTCTGTTTTTCAGAGGAGCGAAAGTGTTATGATAGTTAATCAGTGAAGGGTATATTTATTTGCAAAAACTGCAGTTTCACTGAGAAGCATGATAGGGGGGTCGCTGATAAGTTTCCTTCAAAACGCCAATAGGCATTGAATGATCAACTACTTCTGTGAAAGCTCGTCTCACCTTCGTGTTATACAGTTGCTATGACGGAGGCAAAAGCAAACCACTTCCAGCTATTTTACTCTGTGAAGATAAACGATTAGCGAAGGTGTTTAGCACGTGACATTGATGTGTCATATTGAAGCATAGGCGATCACACAGTCTGCAAATAAATCTGAAATATATATTCATTAACTCGCTCTTGAGCTCCCCTAGAGGCTACTTTAAAGTTATTCATTTGAAGAAAAACATTGTAGCAGGACTATTTTCCCACATTCTGAGTTTAGCGACCTGCATCGTGTTATGTGTCTTGACGCTTGCACTTGAAGTTTTGTGCACAATCTTAGTTCGTGTTTGGCGCCCATGCGTTCCATCCTTCATTTCAGTAAACCGGTTTTCAGTGATGAGGTTTGCCCGAATTCGGTGACACTTACTGAAGCCAAATTTTTGCTTCTTGTGCAAGTGTAACGTGTACTTTAGAGACTAAACTTTGTTATTGCTATATACCGACGAGGAATTCTGAATGACAGAATCACTGAATGAAAAGAAAAAAAAACTTACCATCGTAGACATCACAGGTTAGAGTGAGGTCTTCCCCTTCCAGGTAAGGCCGCGTGACATTGTCAATCTTCGTGCCATTCTCGTCCATAATCACGGGGTGCTTTGGAGGTACTGGTAAAAAGAAAAAAAATTACAATGAAATGGTTATATTTAACTTGGGTCAAACGGGGCTTCGTCTCTTTTTATTTACAGTGACATGAGTATGATGATATACTGATATGGGTAATAAAACCAGTATATTTTTGTATGTTCTGTTCGTAGTCGTGTAAGCATTCTTTTTTGGTAAACTTGTCTTTTTGTATGCACTTATATTTTGTTTATATATTATGTAGTGTAAATATATTGCTCATGCGCAGATGCTAACTTGATGTTACTCTTGTACTACCACTTCATTACTATGATGAGCAATCATGCCATCTATACAGCATGCCCAGCTGCTATGGCCTCAGTAGAGACTGACAGTATTGCATGTAAATAAATAAATAAATAAATAAAGAAATTTACATTGCTGAACACTTCAAGTGTTATAAAATTTTCGTTCATCCGAATCCCGTATAAAAATCTCATCAAAATACCTTAAGACTTCAGAGTGATATTTTGTTCGGATGAAAGAATGCATAACATCACCAACTGTCTCAAGCAGAACTACGACAGTTCCAGAGAAAGGGGCAAAATAATGCCGTGCCTTTATATTGAAGTGCGACAAACCATGAAAAACCTTAGATGCCTAATTTGACACGAAAAGTGCACGTCGGCGTCGGCAATGTCAACACGAGTGACGTCAACAGTTGATTAAGTCACCAAAAGACGCCATCACGACGGCATAGCTTGCCTTAATTTGGAACGTCTCACGACGCCAACTACAGGGGCGTCACATGATGGCGTCAAGAACTGACTTCGTCGGCAGGTTGAAGCCACACGAAGCGCCGTCATTTTTCGAGAAAGGGAAGGGGTAGGAGGAAGAAATCAACACAATTTGCGGAAGAGAAAATAAACAGAAAATGAACATGGCTGCTACCTTCTAGTCGTCTTACGGAAATTCAAAAGAGAGGATGTTGCCTCTAGTGGGGCTAATCACTGTCATTACGATACTGTTGCATAGTAGAGCAGGGATATTTCTGGGAAAAGATCTAATTCGAGTGATATTAATGGCGACCATCATGGGGACTCTGCACTTGGGGTGCTCGGCTGCTGATCTGAAAGACATGGGAGCTCGATTTCAGCGACGTAATGCGATGGATGCAAGACGCTAGAGACCTGTGCACTGTGCAATGTGAAAGCAGGTTCAGGAACTCCACAATAAGTACAAGCTACACGCAGCGCTCCACTGAGGCGTCTTCCATAGCCCGAGTCGCTTTGTGCTTTTAAATGCCATAAATCATGAACCTGACGATAATAACGTCGGTGTATAAGCAGTTGTTTCATAGTTTGTTTCATAGTTTGTTTCATAGAATGTTTCATAGAATGTTTCATAGAATGTAATGGCATTCTCGGAACGCAGCAAGGGGTATAATCGGAGGCACCAGCATTCTTAAATATCTTGCCACCATACAAAAGAAAACATTTAACCAGATAGATAATATTTTATTCTGGGCCCCGCCGTGGTGGTCTAGTGGCTAAGGTACTCGGCTGCTGACCCGCAGGTCATGGGATCGAATCTCGGCTGCGGCAGCTGCATTTCCGATAAAGGCGGAAATGTTGTAGGCCCGTGTGCTCAGATCTGGGTGCACGTTAAAGAACCCCAGGTGGTCGAAATTCCCGGAGCCCTCCACTACGGCGTCTCTCATAATCATATGGTGTTTTTGGGAAGTTAAACCCCACATATCAATGAATATTTTATTCTGGTTTATTTTTGTCTCTTTCTTTTTCTTGATGCATAAATGCGGGAATAAATGACAGTTCCTTTTCCTCCTCGCTGAGACAATACTCTTTGTTTTCTTTGCTGATATAAGTTATGGGCTGATGTATGGAACATCCTGTAATAATTACGTTTACTTTAGTATTCAGTATGTCGTGACATGTCACCAAATTGTTGTAAGATAAAGTTGTACTTTCATGATTTTGCAAATTCCCACGATAACCACTATACACTGACTATACAAAAACGCTGCTTAATAGACAACTTTCTTTTTCTGAAAATAAAAAATAATAATCAATTTATCCAAATACTTCGGGCTGTCTACCCCCGGCTTTGTATTATTATTTGTGGCCACGTTGAGGGATTTAAGAAGGAGAAGCTCACACAAAAGCTTCCCAGAATAAAACCTGGTCAGGGACGAAGACACGGCGAGGCACAAAAGAATTCGCTGGAAACGTAATATATAAAGGCCGATGGGTATAAACACATTTCATTTTCTATTCCGTGCTGGTCACTCGAGCAGTCTTGCAGTTACCGATTTTGTATCTTTCAAAATCATGAACCCTCTTACCCAAACACAAGCTTTCTCCTGCACACAAATAATTCATTTTGAACCTACACGGCGTGGTTTCATTTAAAACGCTGCTGCAGAATTCCTCGGGCGACAAATTTTCCTGTATTATCAGTGCCAAGGCTGCCCTTCTCGAGGCTTATTTAATGAGTCCTCAGTGCTGCTTGTCGCGAGAAGGAGGGGGAAAAGAGTAAGAGTTACTGGATCGGAGGATTAGTTGCGTCTTACTGGTCTATATAAACTTGATCACCTGGACTTCATCAACTTTATAAACTTGGTTACTTATTTCCTGTCGAAACAAGAAAGGAGTGATGAAATTGAACGTACAAAGAACGGGAAGAAATAAACAGATAATGTGAGTCGTGCTCAAGAATGAAGACATTCTTCACACCCTGGAGAATGAGTGAACAAGAGTGTTGCGCTTGTAGTTTCTCTCGTTTTCTTTATGAGGCAGAATGACGCGAACTAATTTCACGCGAATGTAGTTGCTGCGCACTATCTAGCAATAGACACCGTTAGTTTACTGTGAAACATCCGGTGTGTCAAAACTTTAGCGTAGAACACCATAGGCACGCTGATTCTACGGAGCACAGCAACATTTCCTTTCTTTTCTTTTCTCTAGAAAACGAAACAAATGGCTCTCATGTGCTTTTTAAAGAACCCCAGGTAATCAAAATTTCCGGAGCCCTCCACTATGGCGTCTCTCATAATCATATGATGGTTTTGGGACATTAAAACCCCACATATCAATCATCCCTATTTCTTTTTGTGAATCATCCAGCTATCTTTAATTACGGCTTCCAGTACCTCCACGAGTGTCTGTATATTATTAATGATGCCGTATACCGCACGAGACTGCTGCTCAGCGCTGTGACGTTGTGTGTGTCTCATTCTTCACTCTTCTTTCAATCTATCCCATCCATTGCACCTGTGCAAGATGGCATACCGGTTATGCCAAATGGCTTTTCCTAGCCTTGCAAGAACAGCTAACGCTCTGAATTAAAATCTTGCTTCTGGCAGAAGGTTAAGTCCAGATTATTCTTTACATTCAACGAACATCATTCAGAGCATGTTCACCAGGGCAGTGTAATGATCCCGCTCCTCGACTGTTGACCTGAAGGTCATGGGTTCGATCCGAGCTGTGGTGGTTGGATTTAAATGTAAAGAAAATGCTGAACAAAACAACTGCGCAATCTCTGCGCACGTTGAGTACCTTTGAATAGCCCAAATTTTCGGTGCCGTTCAGCTTGGCATGCTTCATATTCACATCGTGGTTTTGGCGCGCAAAAACTTTAATATTATCTTTATATTGAGGTAATAGATTGGAGGAGTACCGTGTATCAAGTTTGTCCGATTAGAAAAACTGGAGTTCGTTCAGAGTATAATGGAGGAATGATGACAACACCAGAGAACCACAAGCATCATCACAGAGAAAAACACCACGAGATTGGCGCTCGACCATCAACATCTTTCCTTGTCCTCTGGCTATCTCCGATCTTCGGCCTGTCTGTTAGGTTCGCCCAATAAACCTCATTACATTTGGTTGATCGTGCTGGGTAACCACATTACTTACGCCCTAGAACTCCGATCTCACACCCTGCCGTCGACCATGCAAGTGCCATCGACCATGCAACTGAAAGACTTTGTGCGAGAGGAAGTGGCTAGGCAACTTTCTCTACTGCCTTTTGCTCAACGCCAGGAGCCCTCGCAGCAACAGCCACTGCGACACCCACCACCACTGGCTCCCATGATCCAACATGTGGTCCAGGAGCAGATTTCCGAGGCTATGCCGGCGCCTTTGCAGCAGCCACCGGTCACCGCGCCTCTTACTTACGCTGAGGCACTAAAGCGGCAGCAGCTACACCAGCCCCCGCCTTTCCAGGGACTGCCACATACCTCAGCCCCGACTCAACCGTCCACCGCCCTGGCTTCTCCCATTGCTACCACAGCCTCAAGTCACCCGTCCGCCACCACATGGGCTGCTCCCTTCGCCGCAAATGCCTGGACAACGCGCGATAACCGGCCCATCTGTTTTGCGTGCGGTCAAGTCCTCAAACATAGCCGTCGAATATTGTCGAAAGGCTCAAGTCCTCAAACATTGCCATCGAATATTGTCGAAGCTTTCGTAGAAGGTACTCGTGCATATGCTCTAGATGATACCACTGCGGCCGTTTCCGTGATAGAAGCCAAACTATGCCGCAAGTTCTGAAAAGTGACTACCCCACTGGATATGATATCCTTGCAAACAGTGAATGGGGACCCTATTCGGCCTGTAGCGGCCTGTACTGTCCAACTGATCATCGCAAAGGACCACTACACTGTTGAAATTATTGTCCTTTCAACATGCTCGCATGACATCATACTTAGACGGGATTTGTTATCGCGTAACCACGCCGGTAATGATTGTGCAAGATCTGAACTTGAACTCTTCCCGTTTTACGACCAACCAGCCGACCCCATTCAGCCCACCGTACACAAACTCGTGTCAAAGAAGGTGCTGAAGTTCCTCCGACAGCAGCTGTGTTGCTCCCCGAGTTTTGTGCCGTCATTAGGGACGAAGCTGTATTCTTTGAACCATCAAGCCTCTTTCTTAGTCGAAAAGCCACTTCTTCTGCCTTATTCAAGCCTCTCCATATCTGAAGGAAACAGTGCTCTCTGCCTCATCAGTCGCCTTTCGTATCC